TATCGTGAGCAAGACTGCAGGAAGTGAAATTTGAGCGACTACTGTGCCCAAACAAGCCCGTCTATATTAGAAGGTGCACCTCGTCTAGGCCCTAGGCAGAGCTCACGCGACGAAGTCGCGTCGCGTCCTGCCATTTTGGACAAGTGTTCCACGCCACGCTGTTTAGCGTGTGGGTCCCGACGCGTTTGTGATGGTTACGCGGCGCGACGGATCTCGCCACACTTTTCGGCGTTCATAGCTCGCCAGGCGATATCGTCGCGATTTTGCCGAATCGGCGCGATGTCGCGTCGCTCGTTTGCGGCGAGCGACGGGGCGACCGTGGCGCCGATCCTGAACTGGATTTTCGATGTTATTGTTGTGAGTTGCTGTTTTTTCTTTTGATTATGAGTGTTTTTGCATGAAATGTTGCAAATGCTAAATTATGCCTATCCTTGCATTGTTTGATGAGGGCAATTAGTCTTCATTTATTTTATGTCTTTCATCTACACTTTCACATATCATATATCCTAGACTGCCAAAAAGATCCGTCACAAGCCCTACCCTGTTCGATTGCGCATTGAATACCTAAAGAATGTGCTCACAATCTACGTAACTCCGAAATATGAGCTTTGCATGTGGTAATAACGGTATTTTCGTCTATCATGTGCAGCACTTGGGGACGTTTCTAGAGCTGAAAACATAGTTTTGCCGCGTAACGGTTCTTTCGGAATGTCCGCAGCCACTGGGCCTTGCTGGTACTACTTCCCTATTCGTAATTGATGCTTCCCAACAGTCATTTGATTATGAGCCACATAAAATTGTGATTGTTATCAAGTCGGATTCTAATGGGATAAACTTTTAAACTTCCTTTGTCTGCTGCTACATTTTTTGAATGACAATGATGTAGTAAAGTCAACGAGACCACTGATTTTTTATAATAATTTAGAGTACGTGCAATGTGCAAAGTGTTGTGCAATTGCATGAAATCGCGTCGGAGGTATGCACGCCTCCTGCGACTGAGCGACTCAGTCGTTGCGTCCCAGTCGTCACTTTCGTGCAAGTCGTCGCGATTGGAGATCGCGCGACTTCGTCGCGTGAGCTTTGCCCAGGGCCTTAGTTGAATGGTTCATTTGGGCACAGACGTCGCTCTGAAGCAAGTTATGGTAATTACGCAAAGTTCCGGGAACTTGGTCTTGAGATTTTTTTTCACAAATACGAGAGGTCTTGTATAGTCGTCCTCCCCCCACTAGACACCTAGTGGACGAATTCGAATTTGAAGTAGAGCACGCCGTATGCAGCAGAGCGCGGTACCTGCAGCCCTCACTTTGATCGCAAGCAGACGTTTTTGTGTTTTCGGAACGTTTCATCCTATTTTTTGAATGTTAGCAGTCTTCTTAACTGGATTGTAGACTTTGTTAGTCTTGAGTGATGTTTCCTGCTACTATGCTCGTTATTTGATCTGATTTCAAATTTAGCTGAAATAAAAACCGAAGAAGCGGGCATAGTAGCACGAAACATCGCTAAGCAGCAACAATTTCGTCGATTTTGATTACAAACATCACTGAAACAAAAAATCACCATGCAACGACGAAGAAACACCAAAGAATATTGGACGAGGTTGAACTGGAGTTGACAATGCCGCGCTCTGCCGCAATCGGCGTGCTCTAGTTCAAATTCGAATCCATCCACTAGGTGTCTAGTGGGGGGAGGACGATTATAGTCAGGTTCTATGCATTTTTTTAAAAAATATAATCCACTTCAACGTTCATAAAATTCTCGACCAGTCGTACATGATACCTTTACGGTTTTGAAAGGAACCAATCCTTCCTCTCTCGTTGACTTTACTACATCACTGTCATTAAAAAAAGGTGTAGCAGCAGACAAAGGAAATTTGAAAGTTTATCATATGAGAATCCGACTTGATAACAATCACAACGTTATGCACCCAAATTATCAACAATATAAGGAGAAGTCAACGACATCGTGGTTTTGGTAAATGGTTCATAATCATATGTGACTGTTGGGAAGCATCAATTACGAAGGTGCTGCACATGGTGCTGCACAAAAATGCTGTTATTATCTCATGCAAAGCTCATATTACGGAGCTCGCTCCATACCATCGTCAACGTAGACTGTGAGCACATTCTTTAGCACGTTGACGACAGCGTGCATCTTTAGCTGTCTGCCTTGTGGAACAGTCCCTTCTAGAGTAAGTTGAATATTTTTAGCTGAAATCAAGCAGGCCGTCGTCTGCAGTATCCCTACAGTGATTTTAAAAAGCAGCTAAGAAACGCGGAAGTAATTCCTAGGAATAAAGCAGCATAACAGAACTTCTAAAACCACAGTCATTGCATGACCCACCATGTGGGTCACACTGTCGTCAATGTGTTAAGTATTCGATGCGCAATCGAACAGAGAAGGGCTTGTAACGGATCTTTTTGGTAGCCTAGGATATATGAGATGTAGGAATATGTATATGAAAGACATGAAAAATGCAAAATGAGGGCTAACTGCCTTCATCAAACAATGCAAGGATAGGCATAAATTGGTATTTGCAACACTTCATGCAGAAACACTCATAATGAAAGAAAAAACAACAACTTCAACAATAACATCGAAAATGCAGTTCAGGATCGGCGCGACGGTCGCCCCGTCGCTCGCCGCAAACGAGCGACGCGACATCGCGCCGATTCGGCAAAATCGCGACGATATCGCCTGGCGAGCTATGAACGCTGAAAAGTGTGGCGCGATCCGTCGCGCCGCGCAGGCATCACAAACGCGTCAGGACCCACACACTAAGCAGCGTGGCGTGGAACACTTGTACAAAATGATAGGGCGCGACGCGACGAAATCGCATGAGCTCTGCCCAGGGCCTTACGCTGACGTGTATTGTAAATTATTCACTCAGATAAAAGGTGGGAAGTTCCAGCGAAAATGCGAAAAATGGCAAAGTTCCGGAGAACCTTGTTCACCATTGGAGTATAGAAATTACAAAGTTCCCATAAATTATGACGACAAGGGAGCCGCGGATCCAAAGTTCCGGTGAAAGCGCTTGGGAACTTTGGCAAAGATACAAAGTTCTCGTAAAGTACACTAAATGAAAAGTTTCGGCGAACTTTGTCGTGCTAGCCAGCCGATCGGCGCGGGACCACGTTTCGAGGGCGCGCGTTTGAGGAGCGGATGTCGAAATACCCAACGCCGCAGCCTAGGATCTCGTTTGGACTTAAGTTCATGCCTCTTTTATCAGTAGTTTGTGATAAAGTTTCCTTTTTCAGGTGCGAACAAGTCGAGAAGAGCAGCGCACGACTGCTCACACCGCAGTGGCAAGTTTCATATCAGAAAAATGAGCCACCTATTTACCGGGTCTCTTCAGCGCAAGGCCGAGCATGAGAACTTAGACGCAGCTGAGAGGTAATGCCATTGCGTGGTGGGACAATCCATCAGTCAATTAGTACATCGTATTAAGATTCCTGTTCATGAGTGGTGTAAGGGCCGATGACTGGGGGCATCTGCTCATTGTAGATGCCAGAGAACGCTCTTTGAAGTTATGGTTGCGCAGCTCTTATAAAGAAATAAAGTTAACTTTGCAGCTTCTTTCGCAAAGGGGCAGTTTGTGAAAACTGAAGAGCAATTTCCATTTTGCTCAAACTTCGCTGTTTCGCAATCTGGAATGATGCTAGCTTGTGACAGGAAAGAGAACCGAATGATCCTCTATCGCTTTGGCGAAAGCCAGGAAGAAGAAGTCCGAGCAAAAATCGAAACTGTAAAGGTGAGCAGTGACTCTGACCCTGATGAGTTTGAGTTCACCCCCCCCCCCCCAAGGAAATTAAGCCCGAGTGCAAGTTTAAGTTTGAGATTAAGACTGAGATCCAGCTTGAGACTGAAGAATAGGTTAATAATGTTAGCAAGTTCTGTTTATGTTCTATATCTGCTGCAGCAATTCGATCATTCAGCAACTCAATCTCTGCTTTGTATTCCATGCTTTTAAATTTTAACCCACTATTCACCTCGCTTTTTTAACCTCTCCATACACTAGATCAATTCGATCTCTGTTTCGATACTCCTTGTCTTTTATTGTCTACCTCGATACTGCTTGCCTTTGATCTATCTCTGTATCAATACTTGTTGCCTTAAACCCATTATTGACGTGGTTTTCTCATCTCTGCCATATATTCGCAGCCATATCTGTCCCTGATTTCCCTTGCCTTGTTTCATGTTTTTAAGTGGAACCACCCTGTTGTATTATTAATTATTTCTGTGAGAAATAAGTCTGTTGTAACTGTCTGTGACACCTGAAGTTGTAACGTGATAATCTTTACGCGCATGAATGTTGATATAGTTCTTTTTCTAAATCAAGTGGGTATCCAATCTATGCACTAGAAGCTTCTATGCTGTGCGCGATTTTTCTTAGCTTATCACAGGTGCAGGCCGGTAACCTTCACATGGAAACCAGCGAGCATTCGAACGTGCCACGGGTCAGTTTTGCAGAGGCTCAGAATGTAGATGCTCCTGCTGTATTCTCAGTGATTCAGGTGTTCCATCCTTACCTACGACGTAATCGTCATCCCAGGCGCAGTGAACTTTTCAGAGATTTCCACGGGTCTGATAATCAATCATTCCGAGATATCTGTATCTGAGTGGCTTGAAGGCAGTGTCCCGGCAGTCGTTTTTTGGTTTTCTTTTGTTTTGGTTTTTTTGTTTTTTTAATGTTATTTTACCGGTAAAATCTTGTATCTTGAGTGCATATATTAACCACCAACAGCTATGCACACACTCAAACAAAACTGAAACATCTACTCCATAACGATATAACACCTTCTTTAAAATCCGAAAATGAGTAGATCAGCCGAGCACAGTCAAAAAGAAGTCATCTTTTCTTGCGTTCTTTTCTTTCTTCCTCTCTCGTACCTAACGGTAGGCACCGTGATATTTAAGCGCGTCGAAAGGTATTTCCAAGTGAATAATGGCCAAGACCAATTTTCGGAGGCACTTCCTATGCTCCTGCTGATCGTGGAGCTATTATGGATGCTGCTCCCGATCCAAGCGGCGACGAAGGGGGCCCAGGTCCTAATCAAGGTTTTGTGCAAGAGGCAGCACACTTAGCTCCCGAAGGTACCATAAAATGTGGTTTTAGTGAAGTATCTGCGAAGGGAATATTTTGAGGACGTCAAGATAGACTTCTGTATCTCACCTGCCATGTTGTGATGCATGGTACCGCTACGGAAGAGCCAAGGAGGATGCTCATGTTGATAGAGGTGGTCACTGGAAGACAGGCAGATATAGTTAGCGATTTCTCGGAGCTGATTCCTTGTTATCAGATCTGCTTTGTAGAGTGTCTCAGAAATATACGGGTTCCTGAGAGAGCTGGAGGCTGATCTGCATTTGAGAAACTATGTGTTCTGTAGCTCTTGCTGCCGAACACTTTCCGGGAAACGGTCAGTCTGTGATAACCTTCACTGTGCGCTATGTGGGTGGGTGGAAGTTTGAAGTTTGAGTATGTTCCACTGTACTGCGTTTGCTTCAGGATTCGTCCGAAACGATCAAGGTCGCAGCGCAGGGCAGTCCTATCACCTCTTGATAGTCGTTCACAGCTGATGACCGTGCTCACTAAACATTTGTCCCTCTTAATCAGCATTCATCGGCGCTTGCATGACCATCGGGTTCGTGTAGATTTCGGACTTCTGAGATTTGCTGCTTTAAAAAAAATTTAGATTGATTCTGGAGTGCGGTCGGAGGCATCGGATTTTCCGAATTCAAAAATAATTGTGAATCATTTGTGCTATTCTCTACGCATAAAATTACTTTGCAGCTAACCATTGCGACTGATGGATTCATACCGGCTCGGCTCAGCAGGTGATCCTTTCTGTAAAACGACTACACTACAATTTCCTGCAATTTCTAGTTGTCTTTAGGCAGGAACTATGGCCACTCTACAAGACGGTCGACGATCTATCGTCAAAATTGGGTAGCAGTTATCTCAATGAAATCTTAGCGGGTGTCCTTTGGACATCTAAAACTCCTCAGGAAGAGCTATGGGAAGGTTTATGAAGTCATTTGCGGGCGGAGTTGTCAATTTTAAATGCTAACGAGCATCTTGAAGTACGTGACGGAGCTGCCGGAGACATATGGAGCATTGGTTTACGCCTCTCCCATGCTGTTGTAGACTACCAGGTTGATCACTGAGATTTCACAAATAAAAAACAGGAACAAAAGTAATCTAGGGACTCAAAGATATATTTGGATTACCTCGCTGGACTTCCCGCTTCGGCTGCCACAAGTGCCTCTTTCCCGGTAATCATGAAGGAAGCAAACTAAAGTGGTACTGCTCCGATCCTCTTGCTTTCGAGAGAAGATCTAGTGCAACTATACGTGAAGATGCAGAGTTACATAGAAATGGACTTAGGAGTTAGTTGCCTCTCGCAATCTACATTTCTCTTGCCAAGTTTTGATGTTCAAGGCAAAGCTTCCGCTATTTTATTCACTCCCGCGCAGTGCTGCGCGGATGCGCTCCACGTAATCAGCGAAGGAGTCACGCAAAATCGTCTGAGAGGTGTATCAAGCTTCTTCTTGAGACAATTCCAGGATCCCTCTCTGCTATGTTTGATTCAGATCTGCTTCCTCGATCTTCAAAAATAAGCGTAATGAAACTCAGTGGAGAAGCAATTTCTGAACTGAATACAGCTTTAATCAGTACAAGGAACTACACATACTCTTCAAAATTTGTCCTTTGTCTCGAAGATCTACCATCAATGACTGGAGCTGAAGTAGATATGGTAAATCTGTTGTCTTTTGCTCGGTCCATACATCTTCGCTCAATCCGGTATCATTTTTTAGTTCGCAAACGCTCTGTTCCCGCTAATCGGAGCAGTGATATTGTGCCCTTCTGCTTTATGTGCCGCCTCCATCGTCGGTTATGGGTTTTGCTTAAAAGAACTTCAGTTTCCGGGAGTAGATTCCCTCAGTTCTTTACCTCTCAATTCTCACTTGACTGATTTCTGCAAGTAAAACTTCTTCGGAATCTTTTTGACCACTGCGTCATGGAAGGAATAGAACAGTACGGAAGCCCTTATCTATGGTCTGCAGCGCCCTTTGAATCATTGCATCGAATCCTGCAGGTGCCACACAATCAGTTTGTGACCAATTGCGATGCTAGAATCCTTAAGCGGCAAGAGCAATCTGACCTTCAATCTTCATTTACCTTTACCTGCAGGTTTGTCGTTATGAAAAAACTGGTTATACTTTTGGAAGAAACCACCAGCCGAAATCACTCAGTCAATTTTTTGAAGCTGCTCAGTGATATGCAAAATGATAAGAAAAGGCTAGCAAGGCTTTTGCTTTGTTTTATCGTGATTAGAAACAAAACTCAGGATATTCTTTGAGATTTCCTCCGCATGAGAACCTCGCCGTCGCTGCTATGCTCCTGAAAATAGTGAAGTAAATGAAGAAACGCTTACAGAAGCGCACGGAACAATTTTTCATCGTCACCACATCAATCTTTACGGTGTAAAATTATAGTACGTAGGAGTTTCCTTGTGAGATCTGTTTCTCAGTTGACAATGTATGATTTCAGTTCGCGCGTGGTGATTGGAGAAATGGTTTTATGTTCAAAAGAATACTCGCGAAGGCCTGCAGACACGGATAGTTCCTGTTTCCAGCTGAGAACTTCACAAGATGGCTCGACGCACATCTCCTACAGGAAATTGCTTCTGATTAGCTTTCACATGCGTACACACACTTCATTTGCCCTCACTGAACTGCAACAACATCATTTTCAAACCTTGCATAGGCTCTGGAAACATTGGAGAACGGTTCCGCCTCACGACTTATTCACTTGGTTTCCCAGAGTAATTCACACTTCCATGAGATACATTCCAATGGTTTGAAGTGGATTAATACTACTGACATTGTTAGGCCAGCAGTATTTATCAATATCAGATGTAGGAGTTTTACGCTGCGCATATAAATTTGTATAAGTGTTGTAGTTGTTGTCATTGAAACCTTTGCTTTGTACTGTGCTTTGTACTGTGCATCACTTGTGAGGGTACACTCCGCATCTTACTTGAGCTTCGCTCCTAGTTTGCCTACTAAAGCTCATTTCCAGATTACGACGGAAGTTAGTGGCAAAAGAAAATCCGGTGAGCTAGCTTTCATGTCAACTTAATGTCTTTCATTGTAGTATGTTTAGGTATCATGGCCGACGAAAATCTGCCTTGCACGTCATCGTCTAAAGCAAGGCGCACATACACGGAACTTCGTCCATTGAGGCCCTTGAACAGAGTAAGTTGTAGCATGTTCGCATATTCGGGTTAGGATGAGAAGGGGGTTGAAGTCGCTTAATATTTAATGCTTAAAGGCAGTGGCTCGCCAAATCTCAACCTAGTCAAATTTTCGCTTACCTGGGGTTATTCAATGCGCTGATCACGAAAATCTACTTTAGAGAGCTCGAAAACGGCGAAAACGAGCGTTTTTTAACCCCCTTCCCTTCGAAAGTGGACGAGTGAAGCAAGGCTGATGACGCTGAATCGTTGCGGGACCCAATGATTATAGCATTGCGGTGGGCGGCCTCCAATAGTGAGAAGGAAGTTGCCAACTCGTCCGGGTGCGTGTAAGAGGCTTGCGCGTGTAAACTTGAAAGCGATTTTCTCGGCAAGGAAGGCATGCTGTGCAACCGGGATTGCACTGTTTTTATACTTGGGGATAAGGAACTTACTGCGTTAAGATCCTGGGTTGTCAAGTTTTGCCGATGCACTGCCTTTAATACAGATACTTTAAGGGGGGGGGTACGTTTCTACGACTGATGCTTTTAACAACGGGACGATTGATTTCGGCTGTTTGGAAATTCTGACTGGTTATCTGTTTGTCACTTCATCCAAACTGGTAGCCGGGAGTTGCTATCCAGGGGTAGGTGAGGGTATGAACACGAAATAGACAGTGGCTCTTATCTTCAGTTTTTATCAAAACTTGAAGTCACGGGGCTGGGAGTTGGTACCCAGGGGTAAGTGAGGGTGCCCATTACGGTAATAGGCTTCATGGCATCTCATGTCAGAGTTTGGAAGTTTCCCTGCGTACTTACTTTTAGCTCGGTAACACCAGCTTTACAAAGTTGATAAGCTATAGATTGATATCAAATGATTGGATAAATCTGAGGCCAATTTCTCATAGGAGTACGATGTAACAACAGTAAATACGACAGTAAATCTGACAAATATAGGGATAGATCCGCTTCCGCGCCCCAGCACATTTCCGTTGCTTGCGATGCGCGCGCGAAGCCTCATTTCGTGGCTTCCCGCAACCGAAGGTGGATGATATCGCCTATACGAAGTTATCATTAGTTGCATCTTCACGCATTTTTGACCCCCCAACATTTATGTTTTGAATCTAGATTTTCTGGATTTTTTACATTGTTAAGGCTATGGAACACTTCCTCTTCAAAGTAGGAATTACGAAATCTTTTCGTAGTAGAAATTATTTTCTTACAATAAGGTGCGAAATTCATATATAGAACCAGCAACCCTAATTAACCAAATCTGAAGGTTCCCAGATTGTTTTGTTCCTTTCTGAGCAAAATGTCGCCCTTAACAGCTCAAACTCTTCAAAGTTCCGCCGTAATTTTGTAGTAATGATGGGCCTGTAATTCGCTACTTGCTTTGGATCTAACAAGGGAATGGGCAGAAGTCGAAGTGGCGGATTCAAACAAGCTACATACCATTCGATGCACATAGAATGCTGATTCCAAATTTGTCTTCCATATCTGCAGAGCGCCTTTGTAGGCGAAGTTATGAGCGGCTTTACTGTCAAAAAATCATACACAAAAATTGCGAAATTAGGCACATTTACTCAAATTATGATTGATAGATACATTTTAGGCAAACAATAATTATTTCTCCGAATTTTCCATATTTTTTGAATAGGAAGGGCATGCATTTACCTCGAGGATGCCTAACTTTCAAATAGAAGATGAATCGAGGCAATGCAAAACTAAAAAACACAAAAGGATTTGAAGTTACGCCTGCATCAACTTATGAGGCTATCGGTCTAACCACTACACACTCCGATCATATTTCCCTCGGCCTGCCAAACTTGGCTCGAAAATCCTCCATAACTCCTTTCACAGAAACGATCAGCAGAAACGGAAACCAGATTCAGAATCAGCATTTTGAGACGAGTATAACGGTATACATCTCATTTCAAAAAGACCACGGACACTAACAAGGGAAGAAAGGTTGGTCGAAGTGGCCATTTGAAATGAGGTATATACCGCCTTGTAAAGCTTAGAACGCTGATTCCAAATCTACCATTGCTATCTGCTGCGGGCTTCTGGGCGAGGAGTTATGAAGGTTTTTATGAGTAAAAATCTGAGTGCAAAAATAGGGTAAAATCAGTCGTAACCTTTTCCCAATGTTCAGATGAGGCAGCAGCGAACTGGTGTATTTGAATCAAGAATATTTGTTGCACCGAGTGACCCGACTACCAATTAAGCCCTATAAAAAATGTTACGACTGATTTTAGCCTACTCTTGCATTCAGATTTTTACTCACAAAAACTCGTCCCCTTCATAACTCGTCGCCCAGAAGCCCGCAGCAGATAGCAAAGGTAGACTTGGAATCTGCGTTCCAAGCTCTACAAGGCAGTATACATCTCATTTCAAAAGGCCACTTCGACCAACCTTCCTTTCCTTGTAAGTATCGTTCGCTTGTTAGCAAAATAATGCCATTTGATGATTTTTGTTTCACCCACAAAAGTGTTCTGCAGATAAAGAAGACAGATTTAGAGTCAGGGTTTTGTGCTGCATCTAACGGTATGCAGTTTGCTTGACTTGGCCACTTCAATTTCTGAACAATCCCTTGTAAATTAAGCCAGCTCCACAAAATGTTACCTGAATGTAGGCTAAAAATTTGTGAGCGGAGAGATATTAACGATGAAGCAGTGGGTTTTTTGGAGACAATATGTATTCGATAGCTCAGACCTCTTAATTTTTACAGGGGTGGCTTAATCCTGATTCAGAACGGCGGAGGAATACTACAGGATTCATCCACTCTATGTCAGTTTATGATATGGCGCTTGGGTGATGGCTTACTGTTAATTGTGGAACCTGCTAAGTTTATTTATCCATTTTTGAGCGAGCGCAGCCCTTTATAAATATCATATAACTACATCAATATGCCGATCATGACCCTTTCCCTGACCCCTTAATACGGCGCCTAGGTATGGCATGTCATACTCCATGTTTGACCCGGTGATAGGTTAAGGATCAGGTAATTTCATAACATTGAATTTTGCTGCTTGTATGAAGCGCAAATCTCAAAGTAAATTGGGACGAAGAAATTAATCATAATCCTCATGGTATTCACTCTCAGTTCATACTTCACTCTAGTAATGTAACCTTTTGACTACTTTACTCTATTTGTCTCCACCTAATTTCCCCCCCCCCCCCAGTTTTATTACATTAATTTTGTAAATCAGTTTATTACGACAAATACCAGTTTACGAATAAGCTACAGGTGGCAGTGCTTTTAGTTACCCATATCAATTCTCACACACAACAACAAGGATATGAGTTCAACAGCAGTAACAAACTGTATTTCATATATAAACCGTCGGGAACAATCGTTTTATCGCGTTGTTCTCTATTGTCAGTCCGTTGCAGATTGTGTTTGCATCATTGTGATCAAACCACAGCAGAACCTTCTCTTGAGAAGCCATTTCAACAAAGGCTCTTCTGGTTTCGATGCTTTGTGTCTCGTTCTAAGTCTTTTAGAGTGATATGACGGCTGCATTCCGGAAGCTAGTGGAGACACCGGACATTCTTTTAGATCCTCCTTTGGGTGATTTGCTGTAAGTAAAATTAAAAAATTAAATTAAATTATTGATTTCTCTTGAAACCTTTTGGAAACAACGAGTAAGCAAATCTCACTGCGAATTTGTCTTTACGCTTTCTGTTGAATCCAAATATGGGATTCAAAAAAGTAAAAAAAAACTTTATATTGTTCGTTTTTGTTTAGAGCCCTATACCCCGAGTGCGCAAGTTGATTGCCCAACAAAGATCTTTGTGCATTGTCTTTTTTGTACTAGAAGTGGGGTTAACGCGCAACGTTTGAGTTCGTTCTGTACAGACTAGCACACCCACGCTCTCCTTATGTGTAAGCATAGATGCGATAGGTGGAGAAATTTCTCTGACCCCTTCACTTTAGGGCCGGCATGTAGCTGTCCCCTTTCACCTGAGGTTGAGACTGGAATCAAGGCATAACCAGAATCAAACAGCTGTTATAATGACACTTTTTGTTTTGGAAAGGAGTCGCCAGCTGCTCCTCCCTTTAGACATCAAGACTGCAAGAGAGTATCGAAGCTACAGCGTTTTGCGAAAATGCTTGGGACCTTCTGCGCACTCAAAGTAGAACTGATAACGAAATATAATCAAAAATCAAAAGCATGTCTGATTCTTTGAATAAGCAAAATTGTAGCAACACACTCTTGCAAGATAGAGTTGAGCAAGAGTAGAAAATCTGGACTAGCTAGTGATGGATGCATGTTTACTGACAAGAATCGTATCTTTTCACTGGAGAGAACAATGACAAATAAAAGAACAGTTAGATTACTCGTTTCCCAAGCTTTCGAATCATATATAAAAGTTCGAAAAAGACCTTCTTGGTTAAAAATAGTTATTCAGAATTGGCTGATATTGTAGCTAGATAAAACTGCTCTTATCTCGTTTCACAGAAAAGCTAGGAAAACGAGACGGTCCATTCCTCGTGATTGATTCCTCGTGTTCTTAGCTATCGAATTGCATACAAATTGATGGTGCACAAAGCTTTTTCCATAAAAGTCTTAATCCGGCGACCCATGGAAAGCCGGAGCGGGGTGGAGCAAGTTAGTATTGAATATCTCTACCTCGATTTTGAAAGCCACAAATTTTTTCAATCAGCAACCTATAAACTATTAGAAAGTCCACGAAAAAGGGATTCGACGTAGACCGTCTTTTTTACTCTAGCTCCCCTCTACTCAGAGATACATGGCATTTTAGCTAAAAACATGTGTTTTCGTGAAGAGATTTTTATGCAAAGAGTGAGTGAAAATGCCCAGTTGTCTAACCCTATTACAGAGTAAGACTTTGCCAGTAAACGCAAACCTATCTTTATTTCTAGCTTTCCTCTTTCTTTCAGAAATGGAGCACAAGTGATTGCTTAAAAGAGCTGATGCTAAGACTGATGTGTTTTTTTATATCTGAATTCACAGGAGAGCTGAAAAAAAAAAGAGGCAGTCTACGTCGATTCTGTATTCCAAGCTTTCGAATAGTACTTCGACTGATGAAACATAAAGCTTTCCTGAGTCAAAAAAGTCTCTGTTGGATAACCTTCCAAAACCCAAGTATTGAGAAAATTATATTAGGTTGTACCAAAAGTTCGTTCGCATCATTCTCAAAAATTCTTAAGTCTCTCAGTTCTCAACGAATTTGCACAATCTTGCATTTATCTTCCATCACTGCGCAGTCCTTTTCAGGTGAGAAAAGTTGAAGAGTCAAAATCATTTAAAACTTTTGGGTTTGAAGCTTATTGAGATAGTGATCATAGATTTCAGAGAGTGGGGAATCTTTGCCAACTAACGAGCAGACGTGCATGCTTTTTTGCAGTGATGGAAGATAGATGCCAGATCTCAGCAGCTTTAAACAAAATCCACTTATGTCGGCACGCATCGGTATTATACCCGAAGCAAATAAAAGTTAGGTAGTAACGTCAAACGCGTCATTGGCATTGACCGGCTATGCTGGAACTGCTGTTCGATTTGTCGTTGTGCCAATGACAGCGAATTCGCTGTCCAAAGCATGTTAACCAAGATTACGCCTAGAGATTGGAGCACTTGCTTACCACGAGTATTTTTTCTGACGCTAGCAGTCTTGTTCTTGTTGTTGTGATCCATATGTACACTTACAGCTGCGACATCATCTCCAGCAGTAGTCTCGTCATCGACGAGCTGAATGGGACGCGTGAAAGCCTTATAAATGTTGTATTCAGTGCCAGCTTTGACACATGCACGGAAGTTATTAAGCTACTCAGCAAACTAATTTTTCAATTCGATGATGTAGAAGCTCCAGCTTCATTTGGTGAACCTTTACTTCGTATAATACGGTCAGATTTACAACTGTCAGTTCAGTTTCAAAGTACTCACAGAACTGCCGGAGACATGCGGTTACCTCAAGCGTTACCAGCGAACTTTAAAAAAATAAAGACGCACTTCCGCGATGCCGCATATTAATCCCTTTCTTCCTCTGCTTTGCTGCTTTTTTGTCGCTCAACAGTATCAGCGAGCGGCCTTGCAAAATCTCGTGGTCAGTTTTTGATTTCTGCGGGAGGGCAAAAATCAGTTATCTATTTCGTCGCTGCCCGCCTATCCTCGGACATTGTCTGAATAAAAAGGACAGAGAAAGTTTTGAGCTTTTATTATCCCAATTACGGGCTCGACAAATGCTGAGTTGGAGGCTCTGTGACATGACTATTTTTAATTTTCGAGAAGGTTTACCTATCGTTAGACTTTCAGGACAACGGCAAAAGTGCCACACCAGCAAAAAGTCCGAATTCTTCTCGCTGGAACTTTTGGTGGAGTATGTGTATTGATGTTGCAAATATGGGAGCTCCGTCTTAAATGTAGCACAAGCTTCTAGCGCTGTGAAGAAAAACCACGTGGGGGGGGGGGTGGGGGCGAAACTATGTCACTAAGCTTGAATATGAAAGCTCCCGATGGATCTCTCTGATTTAAAATTGTAGTCGAAGGCGTACTTCTTCAAAAGCGGTATATTTTCACGATCGTTAATCATCTGCCTTCCAACTCATCATGTGAGTAATTCAATTGAAACCTTATACGAGTAGGCAGCTTCGAAAGAAAGGCCGCTGAGTTTTGACCCCTGCGCAATAAAAAACGGCACTGCTATTAATGCTATTATGCTATTACTACTAGAATTGCTTAGAATGAAGGAAATATTGCGTACTTCAAAAAATCCCTCATCGTCAAGATCGTAGGCTTCCTTTTCCTTTCTGAGGGCTTTCTTTTGTTTCAAGGAGACAGGCGAGGGACATAGCCCTGCACACGGTCGAGAACGCTGAAAATATGATGTGCGGTACAAGATTGTTATTCTGGGTTTGGGCTCTAGGCAGCACAAAATTCAAAGTTCAAATATGCTTGGGAAGCGAGGTGTACGGTGCGACCTGGCTCTACACTGACTACAATAGCACAAGTCCGCCTGCACTTTATATGCGAACTTGTTCTCTCTTCAGTGCTTCAAAAAACGAAAAGAAACTTAATCACAGGAAATACATACTGTCTTGAAAAGAAGGTGCGTAGGATACGAAGCGTCATTCTCACAGTCTGCAGCATAATATTTCTGAAATTTCACAGTCAGAAACTTCTTTTTATGAATTAGCTTACAGCTTGGGTGTCAAGGTTGTAAGGAGGACAAGCATCGCCTTTGAGAAAGAAAACTGTATAGCCGGTTTTATTGTTTGGCGGACTGCTCGCCATGGCTGAAGGACAGAAATGAGTGTAAATCATCCAATGAGTGAATGATTTATCTTATAGCTTATCACCGACTACGAAAGCTGGTTAACAAGAGTATTCCAATCAGTCAAATAGTCATACTTCTAAAAGCAAAAATCAAAAAAAAGCTCAGCCAAAGTACTTCAACAACGTGATTTTATTGATCGCTAGAGTCTGCTTCCAAATAATTAGTGGATTGGTAGATACAATGATGCGATCTTTTGTGCAGCGGTAAAAGCAGCCCAACAGATTGGATCGGCATTGGTCGAAAAACAGCCTACGCCTTTGGATTTTGTAGTATCTGGGGCAGATGTATTTGTAACTAATAAGAATTAGCTAAACTATTATCACAACTGATTAAACAAATAATTTTTTCAGCAATCACCTCAGTAAGCAAGCATCAATTCTACAACCTCTCAGACTTCGTCGTAGCTACAGCATATCTGCACGCTTCACGCGGATTCGGTATATCTTTTGAAGAAAATATTGTGCATGTGTTTTCGTGTCTGTGTCCTTCTTTTGATTTGTATTAATAAGGACGAATGTTCATGCACTAATGTGCACAGAAGGGTTCAACAATGTAGATTTTACATTTATCCATCTCACTTCCCTCGCAGACTGCTGATGAAAGGGGAGATAGTTGTGCAAAGTTTTAACAACAACAATAACAAAAGTTCTTTTATTGGCAGTGGTGGAGTAACTTTAACGAGCATGTTAAAATAACAATTTAGGTGTGCGTATTTGAAAAGATTGCGACGTCTTGTGCTTGGTAGAGCAGAATGGCATGTTGTCTCTTCGACCACCCCTGGAGAAGTTGCTGCACCTGCAGTCATGTTTAGACATAAAGCACTTCTCGCATAGTGCTACTGCGACCATACTCATGGCGCGAACGATGAGGTCCGAATGACACCACTTTGACGAGAGTCCGTGCAGAGTTTGCTCCATAGTATCAAATGAGCAATTGGATGTGGCAAAACCAGGTCTTAGCAAAGCACAGCGCGACATCATCACGTCAGTAGCACCATGTAAGTAATCCATCCCTCCATCACAGGAGCTTGTGGCAGTCATTAGTAGTGCGTGGAAGGGCTCGGTCATGTCTGTTGCGGAGAGGATTGCATCAAGAAGCATAACTACTTTAGCTAGTTCTTGGTACGCTTTTATAAGAGAATGTAGTAATCACTCCTGCTTTTTACCTTTGTAAGCCGGCATGCCAACGTCATTTTTCACAATTATAGTTTCTGTTATCAGTAGCGAAAAGTACAGCTTCTTTTAGATTATTGCCGCCTATATTGCCGCCTACATTTTAAAATTGGTTTTTCATATGCGCTTATGTTTGTGATTAAGATGTGCATTCCTTGTAGTCAGCACACTCAAAACTTTGCCAATATGCACTCTTACGCTGGATTTTAATGCTCATTATGCACTAGAACCTCAATGACTTCTCACCTTTAGCCGCTCATAACTTCTCTCAGAGATCGCCACAGCAAATATGGAAGGTATTTGAAATCAACTCATCGAGACGCAGCTAACGATATGCACATTCCAGTTCACCACTGCGATCCGAGACCGCTCCCCTGTCAGGCCTCTGACTACTGCTATAGGTGTTTAGACAGTCTCAGAAAGCTCAGAAGGTATGCTCAGCCCAAATGATTAGGATAATCTTTCTTTTCTGCAAGGCATGATAAAGCTAGAGGAATCTTTTGAAGTGTTAAAGTGCCCTGAGAAATACAACTAACATAACAAATGGAGGTGTGACGAACATTACTGTGCATAGAAAAACAAGGAATGTTATCGATACTACTCTTAACAAACAAATCAAAAAGCAAAACATTTGTTGGAATGCCGAACAAAACCTAAAAATCCATTCGAATGCTGTCAAATGTCTTGACATGGTTGGAAGAAAACTCGTTTAACAGCAATATTTGCAAAAAGATGGCGCCAGTAAGCATAAATTCACATTGTCCGATCAAACCATCTAAGAAAACTTTTCCACACGTATAGCTGAACGGGGGTGTATGCCAAGATGAACGATAGCTGGCAATAAGCATACCGTACTCCAGCGGCTGTCAATATGTCCACATAAAGTTTTTCTTTTGAAGCTATATGTTCTAAATTGGATTGAAAATGGTGTCGAACAGTAAGAATTAGGGCGTACAGAGCTCCCAGCGGTTTTTCCAAGTTTCTAGATACCATCATAGCGTAGATATGGAATATGAAAAAGATTTGACCTACGCAGCGCATATGGCTGTCTCAACCTATCATTCATGTTGGCTGCCCCCCGCTGAACGGCGCTTCAATATGCACACAATCCAGGTTTGTGACGAGAATGCGGTAGTAAATCGGCAGGGTCAGGGGACTTAGAATATTGTAAAAGAGCTTCAATCACTTTGTACATTTATCTTGCTTCTTTACGCTATTGTAAAGGTTATTATACGGTCGAAAACGCCTTACAAGGGGAGATCCCAACTCAAGGTGGCAAACTGGAACAAACGGGCTGATTACACTACCTTCTATATCTGCGGTGCGGTTCTGTGGAGAAATGACATAACGTACAAAAGTCCAAATTTGACAAACATTCAATGCCACAGCTTCAATAATAAGTTGTTCAAAGGCACTTGTCTGTGTTTACGATGAATATGAACATTCCTCGGAATAAAGTCGATATCATTCTAGTCATGCGCTCTCAAGTTGGATTGAAGCCATTAGCTAGCGTACCCGGCTCCGCCCGGCCCTTCAAAACACTATGTTAAAGGTCATTATCCTTATTCTTATTTGGGTGCAGGTCAGGAGCCACTATTTCTCGCGCGACGCCGCAACGCGACGTCAAGCAGTACAGGCCTCAGCTCCCGTCAGCACTCCTGCCGCAGTATTACTTATGGCAACAACTCATGTATCTACCGCCACTCCCCTACCGTGGCGCCGTGCCACTTTGGCACCGGAGAGTTTTCGTGAGGCACAAAATTTGGGCGCGGCGAGAGGCCCGACCCAGGGCTCGGCACGAGGTTGTCAAATGACAAGCTGGAATTCGTTTTCGGCAAAAAAAAAGAGGATATCTTTTTTGCGGGGTCCGGGGCGAAGTCCCGGAAAAATTGATAGTTTATGCCCTCTGCTTATTTTAAGATGTCATGTGCCTCAACAGGCGAACACCGGAGTTCGCGCGCGTCAAACCGCGCCGTCGCTAGTTGCCGCACGCGCGACGTCGCTCAAGCGATGCTATTTGTAACAGCATACCTGACTAGTTCTCAATGTATGCGAAACGATATGGCACCAAATTCTGTAAGCAAACGGAGAGAGGCTAGTGGAAACATAGTATGAAAAATTATGAAAAACTTATGTGAACGGAGCGAGTAATAAGCATTTTTTCCGAAAATTTTGCAAAATTGGTAAATGAAGATGTGAACTCAAATGGCTCGTTTGCAACGCGCAGACGACGATATGGTGTGAAACTGGGTAGGTACATGGACACAAGCCTGTAGGAGTTAACCTAGGAGTTTCATTGAGAAATTATGTGACTGAAGGTTGTGGCAAACTTTTTTCTGAAAATTTCCCGCTACCAAAGAAATGGAAAAATGGCTTGTTTGCAACGCAGAGGCGACGAAATCGCGCGGGATTCGGTGTTTATACGCAGTAGGACTAAGTAACAAAGTATGAAAAATTATGAAAAACTTATGTGAATGAAGAGTGTGCTTAACTTATTTCCAAATTAGCTTGTCATTTGCCAAGCTAATGACAAGCTGAGCTTGGCAAAACTCTCAATTCACATAATTTTTCCAAAATTTTTACATAAATCTACCCTACGCCTAAACATTAGTATATACTGAAAATTTGGTCCCATACCTCCTCCTCTCCCCATTGCTAGAGGCAAAAATAGCCCCAACAGCCCCGTTTCTTAAGGAGAAAAGCGTGCTCCAATAGAACTGCGTATCGCTGAGTCCTTTTCGTCGGCGTCTACATTTCGTCATTTACATATTGCTGCTTTTTACGTTCCACCTTTTACCTTTCTTTCCTTTTCACTTCTTTGTATCAGAATTGTGTATAGACCTGCGGATCTTTTCCAAATTTCCAATTCCAGACTTTTCAAGGGACAGCACAAATGGTCAATCACATAAAGTGCAGCAAGTACCGGTAGCTGGTCGTGTTATCACAATGAATTCGATGCAGGTAAGTCTCTCCGTTATCGTACATTTCCTCCTTATCCTATGATCCTGCAGGCACCGCAACAGCTCATTTCCGTTCCTATGCGCATGGTCTCCAATGGGACGCCGATGAGTGACGGTCAGCAGACGACTAGTACCATTGAAAGTGTTCATGACTTCTGAGTTATTAGCCTACATTCTGTGTTATTTTTGTAGAATCCAACTGATGCCGCAATTCCTATCGGCAAACGCTCGCATAGGGCAAAATATCAGGTTCATGCGTGAGTGACTTCACTTTATCTTGTTTGACTAGAGAAAGCTTACCACATGGTAATCTGTTTCACGTCGATCCTCGAAACAAGCGTAAGCGACTGGAATTTGAGATAGAAAACTAGAAAAATGCAAGAGGGTATTTATGTGATTGCTTATCAAATTTGATCTGCGAATGATGAGTGCTTTTTTGTAAAAATTACTATTCTTGTCGTATTCGGATGACTGTATGCTAGCACTCAGTAATAGCACAGATTGAATAGTGTTTTTAGTTTTTCCCTCCAGTTATTTTTTTGGCTTTGACTGGCACCAGGAATACCGGTCTGATTATCCAAATCACAGACCCCGGCTATTACACACGGTGTCCTCACAACAAGCCGCTATGGTGGTAAGCATAATCACAATTTTACAATCTAGTTCATGATGCAAGCTGTTTGTATTTATCATCTAGAATGCACTGCAACCTGGAAATACTGCTCTGATAGTTGTACAAGGACCTATTGGCCCAATGGGTCTAAATGCGTCCGGAATGCATCGTAAGTTGTTGAAAGTATTCTTACTATGTTGAGTGTTTGTTGGAACATGCATGAAGCAAGCCTGTTTTCCAGCTCGGTCACATGCCCTTTGTGCAATCGTAATGTGTCAGTTCTCCTTATGAGATTGTTACGACTGAGTAAATTTTAACGATTTTCTACTTGTATAGATAGTTTTGCAAAATTAACGCCTTTGAGAAGTTGTGCCTCTAACTTGTTGATAGCGATGTTTTTTTATGAAGACCACGTTGTCATTATATGGACGCTTATTCACCAATTTTCGCTGTGATTTCGATTATGTTTGCCATGACACTTTTTGGGAAGTAATCATTACATCTGAAAAGCCATCACTCACTAGTCTAACCTTGGATTTTTATATATATCATAAGATCATATTCTTTCTTTTTTAACTGCGCACTCTGACGCAAGTCTTATTAGCCATTCCGAGGCGAGTCTCATTTTGTAGAAGAAGTAACTCATCGAGTAGAGCTTATTGGGCAATCGACTGCTCGAGTCCTTCGACATTTCAAGCTGATGCCCATAGTAATCCCGCTACACTGAATGATGGATTTCGCAACAAATTTGCTGTTCCATACGCATGTTTTTTGCTAATTTTATAGATCCCATCTATTCATGAAAAAGTTTGAATCAAGTAGTCTATATGAGTAAGTTCCAAGTAGTAGAAGCATGAAAAAAAAACTGGTTTGCTTGGTTTTAAGTGGTCGCGTTTTCCTTTTTATCTTCTTCACCGGTAGCGTACGGTATGACTCTATATTAAGTAAAAGCAAACTGTACTTGTAATTTTTTTTTGAACATGAAAATTCCTCCACCCTTCTCCATACTGTCACATGAGCCATTCATGAATATACTCGTTTCTTCGTCCAGAGAGCAGTTCGGGAGAAATGAGCGTGGGGGAGTATCTAGTGTTTGGTATGGATGAAAAAGGAAAAGCGGAAACGGTTCCATGCGGTACTGATAGTCTTGACACGGCGGGCGATGCACCGCCAGCGCTGGACAGAGGTGGGTGCACTGTTTTAATATGGACCAGTCATGTATGTATCTTTTTGCAAATGTGCACTCTTCTACAGGAGAAGCTGTAGGCGATCCGTCGCCTCCACCGGTCTCGGATGCTGCCAAGTCCTTGGACTCTCTCTTTGTCAGGAAAGCACTGGCTTTTCGCGCACGTTGTGATGGTTGCGGAAAACCTTTGGTTCATTATATGTATGGATTTACCACTGAGGTTGGTGATTTGATTGAATACTTATCATATTGCAAAATATGCTTCGTTTCTGTACCATTATTTTTGTAATTTATAATGTTCCGTTTCTGTTAGCGCAGTACGATAAAATCAGGGAGATAGTTTCATCTGAAGTTTTGGACGGCATTATGCCTCTTATTGCAGACATTGATGTGAAGAACAAAGTTGAGGAAAAGGGTCAGCTCATTAACATCTGGTTGCAACTGGCATTTATTTTTTTAGACTTACCAAATTTCAGCTTCCACGAAAGAAAAGAACAATTTGTCCAAAGCAAAACAAGCGACACTCACTCAGGCAGATGCTGAGAAAATGGATGAGGGCAAAAGAAAGGTACCAGCCCGCACACGCCGGTCAGCCACTCACACAGAGGGTCGTGCAAAGAAGCCGAATAAAGAAGAACCTGAAGGTACTCCTGAGCATGTTGAGAAGCGCAAGCAGTTCAAGGTTTGTAACTCTGATGCAGCCGCTACATCGGGACTGACTACTGACTGTACTGACTCATCTAGTAAGTTTGCGCTTTTTCTTGAACCTCAAGTTATGGTGGTAATTGCAACATATAAGGTGTTTCTTCCGTGCATACGACTTTGACTTCAAAACATGCACCTGTACAGCATACTCCGACTCGTACCACAGGAGTGAAGGAGACAAAGCGGACACTATGACACACGGTAAGCATTTTTAGCTTTGTTTTAGCTTTTTTATCTTTTTCTTTTTTCAGCTTTTTGTAATTTGAGATCGAGCTCGTGAACTGCACACGATTTGGTCGTTGCGGAAATTTTGGACTACGTCTTGGTGCAGATCCGCATCTTCATAGAGCTCCTTTCCCCCCTAAGAGTGGGTCGGAAATTTTTAACTGCAGCTTAAGGCCTCGGACAGAGTTCACGGGATTTGATCGTCGCGATTCAATCGCGAAAGACAACTGTCACGAGTTCGTTGCATGCCGACCAGCTTGCATTCGGGTGTGATACTTTTCCAGCCCGAAATTTTTGAACTTAGAATGGAAATGAATGGATATCGTGGCGATTGAATCGCGACGATCAAATCGCGTGAACTCCGTTCGAAGCTTAGGTATGCGCTGTACTTTGCAAAGCTTTACTCATTGTGATTACCTTGAATGTGCAATGCAGTTGAATGTGCGCATTTCTCAAATCCTGCATGTTGCATCCGCTGCCCCATGTGCATTCGCTTGCTTATGTCTATGTCCTAGGGCTTCAACTTCGTTTTCTAGGCTGCTCCTACTCATGAGAATCCTAGCAACAGTTTTGACAACATTCATTTCCACGGGCTCTCCGGAATTGTGATAGTAGGTAAGCTTCTTGCCAATTCTTTTCCTTTTGATCTCTTGCTTTTTCAGTACTCTTCTTTTTACAACCGAGACTTTAAATTCTTCAGAGATCGCAGGGAAAACGCGTCCTCCATGAGGTCGGCGAGTCCGACCGTGAACCAGTCGATTTATGGCGGGATTGACTGGTCCATGGTCGGAATCGCCGAGCTCATCATGGACGCGATAGTACATGAGCTAATGAATATTATGAAAATTTTGTTCTTTCGAGCCTTGTACTTCTTAATAGATGTATGCAGTTACATACAAGCCTCGCGGCGATATTGGGGAACGCCTGGGCGTAGGGGGGGGGGGGTCGCGGGGGAGGGGGGACCTCATTGAGGCCCCCGAGGGCGGGAGTGACGGCGAGGAAGCTCGCCGCCACAACAGCTGCCGGTGCACTGGCTGCTGTTGTGGCGACGAGCTTCCTCGCCGTTACTCCGTGCGCGTACGCGCCTCTCGGGTGGCCTCAATGAGGTCCAAAAAATCAAAGCGCAAGCACTAGCTTGCGCTTTGATTTTTTGAGGGGGGAAAGTGAGTGAGTGAGAAGAGTGAATTCAAGAGTGGGTGTGGGAATGGAGTATTTGAGGATGAAGGTGAATGTGAGAGGTACTGTGAGGGTGTAGATTACTTGGGGCTGAGGATAATTGAGTGAGAGGTTTCAGAAGCATACGAATACGAATGTAAGCATACGAATTCTCCTCCCCCCTCCCCCCCCCCCCCCTCCTCCCCCCCCCCCTCCTCCCTCCCCGTTCCCCTACTGCCGGTCCAGTTGACATTGATATCACTCGAGATCTCTCATCTGATCTCTTTTTTTTCTTTGTTTTTGCATTGTTGTTGATTTTTTCTTCAATAAATGTTCTTTTTTGGGTAAAATGTTCGCTGCAGAATCACTGGGATCAATTTTTGGGTCAAAGGGGAAATCGTAAAGAAATTTTGGGTCAAAGAAGAATTCGTTTTCGAAAACCCCTTTTGACAAGCTCGTGCGGGCCCTGGCCCGACCCGGAGCTTTCTTATGAATACACTGTGAAAACTTCTACTTGCCAATTCCCTATCTTCGTTTCGTTTTCGTAATCAGCATGCCTGGCTGTACCTCCCGGCCCCATCAATCAATTTTGCAGAAGAATCGGTAAAATCGTAAAATTAGCGGGAATTCCATTATTGTTGTGCTCCAGTCAGCATGCACACTTTCCCGCCTAATTCCCAGCCCAGTAGGAAAAACTTTGCAGATAAATCGATGAGATCGATTCGGTTTCCGTGTCGTAGGCTACGCTTTGATCGACTAATATCGATTTTATCGATTTTATGCAAAATGTTCACCCTACGGGGCTGGGAATTGGCAAGGGGGTAAGTGAGCATGCTGATTACGAAGATACTACTGACAGGGCCTGGCGGAGCCGGGTTTGCCAACTAGTCTCTGATAGTCTTTTCACCATCCAACTGAATGCAGCTTATAACAGCCGCTCTTTGCACATTTCAAATACACATTTCATTTCATTTCAATTCAATTTTTCTACACATTTTCTGGAATATTTATATAAGAAGTGCGTAAATTCGAGGAAGAAGTAATCTTGCTCCAGATTAGGTTGGGGCGGAGCCGTGCGAACACTTTGGGTAGGATGAACCGTCACGTCTCCGCCTATGTTAAATCCAGGAGATAACGATGTCCTGATATGTTTGATTGCACAACTAATTGAATTCTGACCAGACAAAGCATCAAACTGAGAGAATTGGCAAAGTTATTTGCTTATGAATAGGATATGTTAGAGCATAACTTAAGCCGAGCTCAAACTGCTAATGTGAAAGTAAATAAATTTCCAGAATACTCAAAACTTACGAATGATGAGACATGACATAATACACAAAATCAATCGAAACATACGGTCACAGCAGAAAACCTTGAAAATACAGATAACTGATGAAGTGGTAACAATTACCCAATTCAGAAAAAAGTTTGTGTCGACTATTGCTGACATATGGTAGATCGACAAGGCCTTGTTTCGAATTCAGGTATACACGCAACTGATCTTCTTTGCCGCCTTCGATGTCGATAATCTGAAGTAGAGTTGGAAGCAGAAGCTTGAAGATAATCAGAAATCACTGTGAAACAAGGATCAGACTAGAACGGTTTGAGCTTATGTGCAGAACTACAAGAACGACAACCTACCAGCACCTAAAACCTGAGACTGGGTAGCTGGGCATGTTGACTTTCTAGTTTGTGTTCCACAGTTGCATTTTGACCATTCTGACCATTCAGCTAAAGAGGTGATCATCATTATGTATTTACTAGACTTCATTTTGAGTCAACTACTCGAATTTCTAGTTGTCTGGCTGCGGGGATCAAGCCTTTCACGAACCCATTTCTGTTACCTTAAGCTTTTGAATGATTTTTTTGAAGATTTTTAGACGCAGACTGTTTTCTACAGTATCCTTGCAGCAGGTAAAAAAATGCTGAATGGCAAGGAGCTTAATCTTATACCCAGATTTAGCTCGTAACAAAACTCCTGCAATGTTACTGTTACTCAAGCGAAATCTAAACTATGAACCCGTCAATCAGTAGCGGACCGAGGAGATGGGGAGTGGGGTAACAACGGGTCGCGAAAATTTCAGAAGTTACTTATAGTCAAAAAATTTGCAACTGACTTGTTTATAATTATAATAAAATCAAAATACATCTGAAGTTCAAATTCATATTCTCGTAAAAAATTTCCGGGGGCGTTTCGTATGGGTCAGCAAAAATGTTGGGAGGATTCCAAAAAAATTTCGGAGTGCGTGGCTAACACCCATCATTCATTCACCTTCATTCTCAGCGTTAGTAAGTGGAGTTTTTGCACAGCTATTTTTGGCAACGCTATTGCTACAACATAAGGCACAGTCGAGTAGATTTGTTGGCGCCCTTGCGGTGCCGAGATTTTGCGGTAAAATTTACGCTTGAACAAATAATTACTCATCAAATGTCGGCAGTCTGCGTGCGCAGAATGCTGGCACTTTGAGCGTAGCTATTTGTTCTCATGCAAATTTGATCAGCAAAACTGGACGCCAAGGACACTGTATCTACCTAATCTACTCTATGAACCATGGATATATAGGCTATGAAATGGTCCTTGAATCTATTGCAAACTTGTGCACCTGCTCCCGTGACAACGGAAGATTGCGGTCTTTGCTACCACGCAAGCGTTAGGCCCCGGACAGACTTCACGCGATTTGATCGTCGCGACTGAATCGCGACGAGACAACTGTTACAACATCATTCCATGCCGATCAACTTGCATTTCGGTTGTGATACTTTTCCAGCCCGAAATTTTTGAATGTGAAATGAAAATGAATGGAAATCTCGGCGACTGAATCGCGACGATCAAATCGCGTGAAGTCTGTCCGGGGCCTTACACGATCATTAACATCCAACCACTTTAACGCTCAGCCCAGTCACTTCAATGCCTAGCAGCTAACATATACAATTTAAAAAATGCTCCGGAAGGAAAAAGAGAAAGAAAAAGGAAAGAAAAGAAAATGCAGTTGCCAGTGCCACTGTCACGAATTCAAGAATGACGTATATTTTGGAATATCAATGGGAACCGCTGAAATATACATCTATGAAATTTTATGTACATAATGTACTATTAACTTTTCCGTGATGTGAAGGCCACAAAGGTCACAGCAACTTTCTTCGCTCTAACTGCTGATTATGTTCTCTCGTGTATCTGCTCTCCAAGAACACGCAAATGGATCTTCAGTTGTAATCAATGTGATAGTTTGCGCGCGCAATCAAACAACAACTTGTCGAAATGGGATGGGAAAAGAGGGTGTGGGGGGGGGGGGGTTGAGATGTACCCAGAAAATGCTTGTAAAACCAGTTTTATCTCAGTTGAGACTAACATGTTTCAGAATTTATATTACTTTACCTTCACAGTATCATATCATTTATAGGTCATTCATAAAATCGTGAGGACGCATTTGACTGTGGTCTTTGCGCCTACGGGAACAGAATACACCCACACAAAGAGGTATCACCTCAGCTCTCAGCTCAGCCACTTTCAATGTCTAATCACTATCACATGTAAGCAGAAAAACCACTTGAGTTAAGATGAATAGCAAGAAAATGCGGTGCCGGAAATGCGTGTGTGTGGCGCGCGATCGTCACGATTTTTCGAATGCCCTATAAGGCCTAGGGCATACATTACGCGATTCGGCCAAATAGAGATGTTTACGCGACCTGGCAGCTTGCCAGATCTCTCCATATTAAATTAATCGTACGCGGTCCCCCAATACATAGGCGCGTAGCTTCTGTGATTTGTTGCAAACCGATCAAGTCCCGTCTCAAGAAACCGCTTTGATGACCTACTATGGACAGTCGTTCCGTTACCAAATCGCGCAGCGATTGGAATCGCGTGAGGTATGCCTTAAGCCATAGGCTGGCTTAGAATTTAGGGCACGGCATTAGACAGACTTTTTAAATAAGTTCAGCTGATCAGGATTAATAAGCGCAGAACTCACCACCAGTGTCTCTCTCACCGGAATCCACCACTCTTCTCTCTCCAGAGTTCACTCTTCTGTCCACTTTGACCACTGGATCATTGGAAGCATCCTCCTTCAGCACAAACTGATTCTGTTCAGAGATGACTTGCACTCCTGATGGAAGATGCGTGATTTCCTAAATTCACTTCACCATCAACTGCCGCCTTCTTTACATCACATCCAAGTAATTCTTCACAACTTCTACTGACCGTATCACTATCGGCGTCTACTCGTTCCACCGGTAAATTATCCACCAAGGGACCATTCGATCTCTCGTTCACCATTTTAGCCGCATTAGCGATCATCCATTCCAGAGCACGTGCGGTATCGCCGTCAACACCCTTATCATAAGTATCATAAGATCGTCTTTCTTTTCCATAGAAGACGAAACTTACAATATCTGCAGGTTCTTCAGCTGCTGGTGTCGTTGTCGTTTGAGCAGCCGCAAGTTTCCTCTTTGTTTTGCGTATTCGTTTGCGCAATTCTTCAATCTCGTTTTCTACATCGTGGATTTTTCTTCGGTCTGATTTCTGAAATGAATGTTCAACTTATTCAATAGTCTTAGAGGTGGCTCCGCTTTTTCCAGATTTTATTATTATATTAATCAAGATGTCATGATTTGGACATGATGATTCAATACTTTGTTTCTGGTATGTTAGCTTTCCGTTAATGGCTCAGTGACCAGAAAGCGACAGCTTTTGAAGCGTCTAGATGATAGATCATCATAAGCCCACTCAGTTTTACTAACTCTCATAGCATTTGCAGGATCTATGAAACCAAAGTTGATTGAGTAGAGTCACTTTGTGTTGTACTTTAAATTCCTCTAGTCTTCAACAGAAGTTAAGCCTATAACTTAAAATTAAAGTAAAAGTCCAGATTATGTAAACCTACAGATTCAAATTTTAGCCGAAAAAAAATTTTAAATTCTAGACGGGAACCTAAAGAAGCAAAATATGTACAGAAGATTCAAGAATCAACGATCAGTCGGAAGAGGTATCAAAAGGAATGTGCCAGGCTTGTTTTACCTCCTCATCATTTGATTTTCCTTAAAATGAGTTGACAAATTCTATAATTACTATCGCAAGGTCGACGATTATGCTGATCTACGATTACAAAACGGTCAGCAAAATTTTTAACAAATCTTTTGATGTCTCCAAGGTTTGATGACTGGTTAGAAAGAGCGGAGAACCTTATTATCAAAAAGGCTTAGAATGGCAGCACTTTATCACGATGTGATAATTTTTCAAATCAATTTTCACCTCGTACCATTTTCAAGTGGCTTCCTGGGTGTGAAACCACCAGAGACCTCAGCTTTGCTCTCCTGTTTAGCTTCTTCAACCGTTGGCGGCGACTCTGTTTTCCTCTAAGATTTTCTTTCTCATATTCGGAGGATTGTGCTCTTAGTGGAGCATTTATCGGTTCTGGAGCTGCGACGACATTTTTCACAGGGACTTGAACAGCACTAACGACAAAACTAGTTGGTTTTATATTTGCGGCCATCTGTGGCTTCTGTCTGCTCACACCCAGGACGTGCTGAAGAGGAACTGGAGGAGCAACTGTGGCTGTCACTGTAGTAGTTGTCGTAGTCTGAGGTTCCGTCGTTGAGAATGGGCTGAACGTCGATGGCGCAGTAGCGGTAAATGGGCCCAAGAACTCGTCCTCGCTCATGTCTGTCTCCGCTTCTTCGTCCTCTTGAAATTGTTCATCCATCCCTCCAATAGGTAGCTGCTCTTTACCAAATGAAATCGAAGTCTCAGGGGGTAGCTGTTCTCTACCAAACGAAACCGAAACCTCAGAGCCCCGAGTGTTCGGCAACTGCGGCTCGACTCTTTCTGGTACAGCAGCTTCATCACTGCTGGGAGGTTCGTCAGTTGATGCATAATAGAGAACGGGCTCAGTGAGCGGTTTGAGTGGCTCAGTAGTGGTGGATCTTTCTGTCGTCGTCGCTGTTGTAGTCTGAGTTACACTAGTAGAAGTCGTGGTAGGATAAGTTGTGGATAAAAAAGTAGGCTCGCTCATGTTAATGGCAAATTCGCCAGCAGGAACTTGCTCATTGGTATCGTGGGAGAGTTCGACACTTTTTCCACCTCCAGGAGGGACAACTTGAAGGCCTGAAGAACCAAGTCTTAAGTCGAGCATACGAAATTGACCAAACTTTGTTTTTGTAGAAACAGCAAACATTGAAGTTGTACGTAAGAAGATCCAACCTTCACTGCTTGGAGGCTGCGGAAATCGTCTTGCATACTGCGCTATTACGGTCGGCTCCCGAGGTTCGGCAGGAGATGCTGGACGGACCCTCGGAGGTGCTGAAGAGCAGAAAATTTACAGAAACTATTGTAAAGAACTGTGAGTTTGCATGCATGTTTCAAAAATGTATAAAAGTGATGATTTTTGAAGAACGTCTCCAAAGTCACCAATCCTCGTATATCCACAATTACACCAAAGTGTGCTAATATTTCTTTTTTCCAGATACTTTCTGTTTTTTTTTTTGAGACTAAGAAGGGAAGGATACTTGGTTGAAGTGGGGTTCCATGTAAAATGTATACCCTCTTATAGGGCATGAAACGCTGATTCCAAATCTTTTTTTGATATCTGCAAAACGCTTTTGGGAGGGGAGTTATGAGACTTTTTGAGGCAAAAATTCAGGGGTTTGGCTAAGCAAAAAGCAAGTGTTGAGGTCCCCCTGGTACTCGAAAGGAGTGATAAATAGCATAATTTCATTATACTGAGAATATCAACTATACAAAGCGCCCTGGCACTGATCATGGCCCCATTTGAGCTCGCAGACTACAGTTTTGGTTGATTTTGATGTATTTGCGCATTGCAATTTTCGCTTCAAAAATCCCCAGAGCTCGCCTCCCAGAGGCGCTTTACAGATACCCAAAAGAAAAGATTTGGAATCAGCGTTTTATGCCCTATAAAGTGGTATACATTTTATACGGAAACGCGGCTTCGACCAAGTATCCTTCCCTTGTAAGTTCCCCCGTTATGTACATAAGCGGAAGAAACTGCTCGAATTATATAATGCTATGAAATAATATGTTGGCTAATCAATGATTAGGCCACTTTTGTGGGTCCTAAAATTGCTGCAGACAAGTTTTCGCTCATTGTTCGGTAACTCTGGAAAGAAGTCCAATTCGATAAGAACTGCTCCAAATGGCGCACCTTTTTCGCCTTTTTCTGAATCTGGCACTTCCACTTCATAGTCCTGATACAATTGTTTCATGGCTATACGCCGATCCTCGCTGTATGGATCAACGACATCAACATCCGAACCAGCGGGCTTCTGTGGAGTACGTAGTAGAGATGAGTCACATGATTGAAATTCCTAAAAAAGGTAACACCGTTTTATCAGCAAGTTTCGAAAGGATGGTAACAATTACAGCATCTTAATGATAGCCAGATAATGTAATATGCACAAGTTGATGAAAACAAACAACAGTTTAAGCTGCGAAAATTCTTTTAACAAACTGCTCATTTTAGTGCTCTTCTGGCATTACCATTGGTTCAAGCAAGCTTATGGGACTATGGCCTACTTCAATCTACTAAGATGACTTTCTATAAGGCGCAAGAAACGAACGAGTTCCCAAGAAAACCACAAAATCATAACTCGCAAACAAGGTTTGCAATAACGAAAAATAAATCTTGAAGTGACAAAAGGTCGAACGTATCCATTTAGACGAACCTTATTGTGACCAGCACATTTGTATCCGCGGACCGTTGAACATGCTCGAACTCTGACCATTACATTGTTTGAGCAAAAGCTCCATGGCGACCACATTGACCATGACGAAGAAATCACTGAAACAAAAATTTTGTACTTTTACCCATCTTCTATTTTGCTACTACAAAACCTACTCCACAAGAGGAGTCCTCTGATAATAGCTTTGAACTTCTTTCAAAGATTTTTGTCTCAGTTTTGCAGCCTATAGAGAGTTTGAGAACCTACTGCCATCTTGCTTAATGTAGTAAAAGCAGCATGATCCGATCTACGACAACAAAGAAAGACATTCACTGCTTGAAACAATCTACCAATCACTAAGCAAAAGGGATCTTCAACAATATAGGATTGTCTCTAGACACTGGGTTTGAAAAGAAAACTTTTTCAACTTGTAAGCATAGTCGTGCACCTAGAAATGCGAAACATTGAGCTGCGCGAAGTTTGTAAATATCACATTTAGCGCATTTTTAACGTCTCTAAGTCCCTGAGGAAAGCTCATTGTCAACTTTGTTTTATAGAAGCTGGAGAGTAGCATCATAGCAAAGGGATCTCCAAAAGTCAAAGTGAATACTTTTGTTATACACCCTTTTGCAAAATTCCGCTCAAAGTGATAGAAGCTTTGATTCATGAAAGCCTTGTGCTGGGTTGTAAAAAAAGTTCTGTTATTCTTCTCTTTAGCAAAAATGTATGCGAACGGAAGGGGTTGGTTAGAATGTGTTCTTGGTGTGCGATGACCTTAGCTATCAAATACGCTATTTCAGCCGAAAAAACAGCGATAAACCAAGAAGAAATGCCCAAAACAGGGGAAAAATCCGTTGCGCTCAGGCCTGCGAAAATGCACATTTTTTAGATTATAGACGTACAGAATTTGCGAAGGCTCAACTTGAAAAGCCGTATCATACCTTTTGTATTGCTAGATGAAGCAGTATCCGACTAGATTTGCTCCGGTATCAGAGCCTTTTTCCAAGTATATAGCCCACTGATTTTAAGGTCCAGAAAATCGAGCTATCTAGTTTCGAAAAGCAGACAGCGCGCATCTTGGAAGAGAGGATAAATGATGAACCTAATCACTATTCTAAAGTGGTCAGTAAACTAGATTATGATACTCTCAATTGCACTCATGATGAAGATATAAATAGAAGAATTTAGCTCAACCTTTATTGACAGCCACTTTAATTAATAATTAAATAGTTTGATAATTAAAGCGGATGTCAATTGCCAGTTTAATTTTGACAGAACTTTCTTTACAATCTTACACAATTCCAGCAATATGTGATGAATAATAAATCGTCGTGAGATAAGAAAGGGCGATCGAGACTGATTTTTGCTCTGGCAAAAACATTTGACATAAAAATCGAACAAAAGTCTATTGATGGTATGTTTTTGTTCCAACTGAAAAATGGCCTTGAAAATATCGGCGTGCATGATTTCATAACTTTACCGCGTAAATTGTCAAGCAGAAGTTTTTTTTTATAAATCTCTTGTGATGCGATCGAAGATGCGTAAACGCTCTATGGCGACAGATTTTCGGCGCGATAACAAATTAGTGTTCTTCACTGCGGTCAATGTGAAATCCAGAAAAGGCAACGACAAACGTATCCACCAATAAACTGCTTCCTTGATAGCGAAAACTTGACGGCGACTTACCTGATGACATATCTGCATATTGCCCGGACACGGATATAGGACCTGAAATCGGATACACTTTAGTTTTCGAGAGCTCTCTGCTTTTTTATCCAGTTTTTTCTCGAAACGACACGCGCGTACCCCAAGATTGAATTCAAAGCTAGGCGAATCTCATGCGACCTCTAGGCGCTACCATGTTAGAGATAGAATCTTTTCAAAATATTGTTGGACTATAATTGATACAAACTCGTTGTTGCACTTTCCTAAGCTCAACCGCACACTTAAACGAGATCAAAGTTTTACGAAGCATCTTATCAGCAGAAACCTTTGCAGGGTAGTTCCAAACCCAAACCCGTTCTAAGCGGCAGCAACAAACTTATGCGGTAGCCAGGGTCAACTCTTTTTTCAGTTGCCACACTAATCGGTCCAATTAATGTCGCGTTATGATTGAAAATATAGCTCATTGCTACTTCAGGTATTGCAAGTCTTCAATCTGATAAGCTAAACCATATCCATCACTAATACAGGTTTTTGATCAACTATTTTCAGCTACAAAAAGTTTGAGTTATGTGCTGTTTGAGCGGCTCTGACAAAAATCACAATTTTCGATAAATGCTAAGAGGGTTGACTTCGAGGTTCTGTATTGTTTACTCTGCATGACTTCACACAACAAGTTCAATCAGCACTGATTATCTTTCCATGCAGATATTACAAAGTGGGAAACCTTATCGGTGGTACGGATTTTATTGTGAGGTTTCAGATTTTTGAGGTAACGCGAAAAAGTAGAGAATTTACTCCCATCTCTCGCACATGTAATAGAGGATAGTTAAGGCACTTTTACAAAAAAGCTTAAATTCTTTTATACATTCCATAAAGTAGATCAGTCGTGACACAGCGAAACTCTTAGACCGACACAGTAGCGACAAAGAGGGTGACAAAACGTGAAACGGTTCAAAGAAATTATCTACTTGTGCCAAAAAATGCAACATTCCGAAGGGAGCAAAAATGTTATTTTGAAGTATATCAATGGTTATGTCCATGTGCAAAAAAAATCCAAAGCATGTAGTAAAGAGACAAAAGCTACCATGAAAAAACAATGAAAACAATTTGCAAACGGACATCTCAAACAAAATGCTTTCATTTCAAAAAAAGAAGAAGTAGTTGCAACTTGTAGTAATTCTCTATCTTCTACTAAACGTGGCCTTGACAAGGCGACAAAGATGTTTATCCCACCTTACAAAATTTGCAACTTGGCGATAATATTTAAGACTGTAAATTATGAATCTAAAATGTTTTTTCCATTCAGAAAACTCGAGCCGTAAATTGGATTAAAGTTTTTGTAGCAGCACGATACATTTCGATGCGTGGTAGAAAAACCGAAAAGAAAGATTCGGATTATTGGTTTGATTGGCGTAAAGAGTTTTCGATTTCAAACTGTAAAAATTAAATACTATTAAAATCTTTTAGATTATTTGAAATTTTTGCATCACAGACCTTGTCAACGCATATTAAGCCTCTCCAACCAGTACAATCTAGACCCTTTTGCCTGATTAATATGTGAAAATATCACTTCCAACCAAAAGATCGATAAATCACTTACCCAGGATCAAAGTTAGTACTAGCCACATTTCGGGAACCGATGATGCGGGTAAGTGGGTCGGGAAGTTGAGTTGGCGCCGACGTAAAATGAAAGTACGCTCCACCCATAGTCTTTAGACAATCCGTTTTTTGCAGCAGGTTCAAGTTTCGCTCTTTTAGAAATTCCAACATTCCGGATTTCGCATCGAGGCCCATTTGACACATTCTCACGGCCAGCGCATTACTATTAGTTCCAGTAATACGACGACCATGAATTCGGACTCCCGTAATTACTGCACATTGTACCAAAAAGACTTCCTGACAAGGAAGCTGCGTTTCCGCGATGTTAGTTCCTGCCTCATCGAAACTAGTTCCGATGAAATTCTTGATTTCCTTCTTTCTCTTAGAGTAAGAGATGGTAAAAGCGCTTCCGATTTAGTTTCCAGGAAATTCTGCGATTTCTAAGGTTGTAACAAAATCAATGCAAGTTTTTCAGTTTTTGAATTCGATCACCTTCCCATTACGAAAGTAGTTTTTTCGTGTATGAAAAATCACAGTCAACAAACCATCGGGAATTCAGTATGCAGTGTGTTTTCGCACAGTGAAAAACGATTTAAGAGAAACCCGGAGATTGCCAGAATTTTTGGAGATCTTTAACTTTGAGAAACCATGACTTTGAAATTCATAAGAAGCACAAACTCTACTTTTTGTTGCCAATAGGCGATTGTGACGCAATGCCAAGCTTAAATCAAAAAAAACCAGAAGGTTCTTCAAAAATCTGAAACTCACTTTTTCGATTTCTCCGAAAAGACAAGGAAGCCTTTGATGAGATTCTTGCATTTTCTCGCCGAAACAGCTGCTGGCTTTCTTACTATCAATTCTTTAGAGTCTATTATTTTTTTTACGAAACGTTATCTCTGCAATCGCTTCTCACTCAAAATTTTTGTAGGGCACGGAATGACCGCAGCACCGTTTGAGTGCGATGAATTTCTCAGGTCAAAAATTCTACTGGTCATTTTCTAATGTGCTGCTGCTTAAAGGCAGCGTCCGGGCAAAAACTCGATTTTGAGATTTTGTGCTTACCCGGGCCTATTCGCTATGCTGAATCCGAAAATCCACATTGGAGAGAGCGAAAACGGCGAAAAAGGCTCTAACACTGGAGGGAAATAGCAAGTGGGCGGGGTCTTCCCCACTGTGAATTCACGCTTCCAGCCTCCAGAGCAATTTTCTCGAATCCGTTAGCCGCCCTGACATCACTACCGATCAAGAGCAAACGAATGACTTGAAACCGGAATCAAAAAGATCGCCCCGAAGCTGGGAGCGTGAATTCACCGTGGGGAAGACCCCGCCCACTTGCTGATTTCCCTCCAGTATTAGAGCCCTTTTTCGTCGTTTTCGCGCTCTCCAATGTGGATTTTCGGATTCAGCATAGCGAATAGGCCCGGTAAGCACAAAATCTCAAAATCGAGTTTTTGCCCGGACACTGCCTTTATCGATCGATCGTTTGCGTTAGATTTAGAGTAACTGTCATAAGAAGAGGGAATTTCGAGGTTTTTTCTTCTCCCTTGAATTGAGCAAGAGTTTTCAAAAGAACGCATTTGTGATAAAATATTAGCAACGACATATGATATTTAAAAAGGTTTAAAAATGGTTTTGTCTTCCAAACCGCACTTAGAAAAGGTGAAGAACTACAATTATTTTGTTACAGCTCAACACTACGAAACCAATGTTTTAAAGCTAGAAGCTAACTAAAGCTTATACCCTGCATTCATTTCTCTTCTTTATGTTTCTCCACTTCATTCTTCAACACTTTTGCTAATGAAAGATACCTCAACACCGTTGTTTTTTTTTGTATGAAAAATACAATGGGCAACATAATCTGTGATTACTTATGTTTTCTGCTTTGTGTGTTACACTCGAGTAGGTTCGTCCTAATCAGTATGCGCATTTTGGAAGTTAGAAGCATCTATTTTCGCTACCTTAGCCCAAATCCCATACCTCGCAGCAGTGGCGTACCCAGGATTTCGGCTCGGGGGGGGAGGGGCGACAAAAATTTTTTTCTAAAGAATGTGCGTGGCGTTAGCCACGCACTCCGAAAAAAATTTGGGGGTGCTTCCCAAAATTTTTTCGGGTCCCCGACCCCTAAAATCTGAAAAAAGGTTACAAGGCTAATTTGAATTTTTAAAAATTTTTAAAAATTATTTTAATTATTTACAAAAATAAACAAGTCACTTACACATTTTTATAACCCATTTAAGTAACTTTCAAAAATTTCGCGACCCATTCTCGGGGGGGGGGGGGCGCCCCCCCCCCCTCGGTACGCCACTGCCTCGCAGCCACATCCCACTTGTCCAATATGAGCACATATCTGAAGCGAAGGTTATGGGAAGAACGTTGCGATCAAATTTTTCTTAATCGCAATTCTCAAGAATCAGACTAATATATCCAATTTCATTGGAAGATTTTGCAATTCCAATCTCGCTCTATGGTTTCTAAATTTTTTGTCGCTATAACCGACACCTTCTATGTTTCTTGTTCCCTTTCTTATCTCTAATTTCATTCCATAGTTTTGGTCAAGTTTGGCACAATTAATTTTTGAAAGCAGAAACTTCAAGCGCTTTTCAAGTGCTTCAAGAAGGGAGAATGAACTCCAGCACATTCAAGAAAACTCACAAAAGTTTGGGAAAAAATTGACGTTCAAGTAAAAAACAAGGATCTGCAGCTACTACGATTAATCATTGCAGAAATTTCGAAAACAATCTTTCGTGAAAAGTCTGTGCTCAAAAGTCCAGATTTGATACTTCCACAGAAATTGATACTATTCATTGCTAAGATTACTACATGTGTTCGATTCGCTTTCAAATAAGGTACGCCGACTTGCTCCACTTAATCAGACTTGAACATCATTCAAAGATTCACACGTGGCCCTATATGGGGTCCTTTGTGCCATACATGACCTACTAATTCCTTGACTTGCACAGCGCAAACGAATTCTTCACAGAGGAGAAATTTAGAAAGAGCATGGAGTCAAAATGTCATCAGCTCAGTATTTTAGTTTGAGGCCAAACGCAAGCCAAAATAAACGATAAGTTGACTTTCGCATTAGAGCGAAAACTTAGTTATACACAGTCGAGTGGATTTTCCGCTTAATATAGTGTGGTTGCACAGAAGGTGAAATGCGGTGAAATTTGCGCGTGAGAAATTACCTTCGACTGTGACGTCCAACTGCTCCCAAAATGCCGGCTGTGCTGGCGCAGCTACCTGATCACGCGCAAATTTTACCGCACTTCATAAACTGTGCAAGCACACTATATTAAGCGGAAAATCTACTCGACTGTAAATGCATGACTATGCCAATCACAAAATCTTCCAAGAGCCAGCACAATCGAAAAAGCACCTATGCCTGTGTGGCCTTGAAACTCAGCGACTTGTACAAACAATCACAAAAAGCTTAAGATTTATAAAAATGTGAGCGATGCCAAATCGAAGACATACTTGTAGATTTGAATAGAAATAATGAAGCTATCACAAACATGACTAAATTAATCTCAAGTAGCTAAGTTGAGTTATAACGTAGCAGCAGCAACGGTTGTTCCATTGTTTCCAACATGGGTGGGTTTCAAATCGTAGAATGAAATAACAACCTAAAAGCCAATGAATTTTGTCCAAAGAAAACAAACAATTTTCCAAGCATATATAATAGATAGTTAGACTTCAGAAACACAAAAGACAAGTAAAAAATACTATCCATAATTTTTCAACTACTGCAACAACTAGGAAAACACTCAAATAATTCTGCAAAACTACCTTGTCCTTTGGCAGCTTCAGAGTTTCTTGACAAAGCTCAGTAACCTTTTGAGTATGGCGAATATTGTCCTCCGGTGACATGGCACCTATGGCCTCTATCTGAAAAGTAATTTTTCAAGATCTGAATTCCACATGTCTACACAAAAATGAAGTTGATAATTGATAAGTGAAACAAACATAGATGTAAAGTTACTTAGAGATTAAAATTGACTCAAACTATTGATAGGATAGATCTGTATTTCTAGTTACCTTACTCTACCAGTCTTATCTGATGAAAAAGATAATTCAAAAGGGTCAATGATTGGTTAAAAATGCTACACAAACAAGATAGGCAACTCTTTTTATAGAGATAAACTGTGATAGATACTGTAGTAAGTATACTGCGTACTTTGATAATAACAACGGGATTACGACTAGCTCCATGGGTGATCCTTTGACCTGCCATGACCTCAACTGCGATTCTAGCTTTAGGCTTCTTCATAGAATCAGCTAATATGTCGGTAAGACGTTCCTGAAAGGGTACACTATTACTTGACCTAATGTCGAAAACTACCGTAGTGAACAACTAATTAGCAATGCTCACCTCAAAATTAGCAGGTACATCTTTATCTGGCAAATTAGTCGCAACTCGTACCATCGGCATTTTTCGTGAAGAAGAAAGATGTATTGCTCTCTGCAAAACGTCACATCAACATGAAGCGGAATATTTAAAGACGGGTGAATCATTTTAGAGCAGAAATGGAAGCAAGTAAAAGTTGCGTGCAGTTCTCCAGCTAATAGTTACCGAATTCCAAATCGCATCAGTGTGTCAAGAAAGGAGTTAAAAGAGTTCATCATTTAGTACACTAACACATACTAATGAATGATTGTTCAGTTTTTTGAAATGATGCACCAGCTTCATTCTTCCATGAAAAGTACTGGTATCTTTAACAATTCCCAAAGGATGCTCAACGACAGCTGAGCATTTGAAAAAAAAAGGATTGATTACACTGGGATAAGGAGTAAACAGCTTCTAATGCATTCTTGTTAGATATGTGAGTATTTGAGATAACAACGCATTAAATACTGAATTTTCATGGCATAGCTACAGGGTAAAGAGTAGAATGGAAGGTAGAAAAGAAAAGATATTTGGAAAATGAGTCCAAGAGTACAGGCGGGCAATTATATTCCATATTCATCCAACGAAAAAAAACTCTTATGAAGCTGGTGTACTTATTTGTAAAAAATTATCACTTCAGAAAGATAATTTTCAGTGATATAAAGATTCAAAGTGCTTTGTGAAAAAGTATGTATAGGGCGTTGCTAGAGCCACACCCTTCATTGCAAAAAATACTATCACCTCCTTTGCAGGAACTCATTTACTTTTTATCAGCATTTAGTGCACGTGATACCAATGTTTTGAACCGTTCACGTAAACGGCAAGAGGCTGAGAGAAATGTACTTCGTAGACATTGTAATGAATCCTAGGTGTTCAAGTGCTTGAATTGGTGACAACCTGACACCAAGTATTAATTACGTGAAAATTCCGTCTTCGAATATGGCGCATCCGAATTTGGAGTATATAGTAAGATGTGAGTCAGGAAAATGTGCAACTGATTTCCGGTATCAGAGTGAACAAAATATCGTTTTCCTAAGCTGGGAGAAACGAAACTCTGCAGGCTCAAAAGCAAGAGATCAAGCAACGCGGAGTGAAAACGAAGCCAAAACGGTCATCAAATTGTTGCAGAAATCTTGAGCAATGTGCATCGGTTTGATGTATTTCATTTGAGTTGCAAGACTAATATTTGATTTTAACCCAGTAAAATCTCGAATTTCACCACGTTTGGGTAAAACGCATATATCTCATTCTATTAGGTCATTCGGAAAGTTTTTTCGTTTTCGCAGCTATAAATTCAAACAAGCACAACTTTTTCCAAATCCAACCTTTTTCTTCCTAATAAATTCCATTGTGTTCAGCAAAATTCTGGTAACATGATCGTTACGTTCGTGTGATTTTTTCTTGCGAAATCACTTAGGGGAATTAATAAAACCTAAAAAGGCATTTTTGACAAGCTAATTTTTATTGGGTCGTATTATTTCTTAATAGGCACCGAGGAATTGGAGAATTTGGTGGCTGGTAACGGAAGGTCTACAGAGTTCGAAAAATGAACAGAAACCTTGGTGCGCGGTCAACCCCTTTTGTGAGGACCACTTTTCTTACATGTGGTTTGACGGCGTCATGGGCGAGGATGGCACCTTTCATAGATTATACGTGCAAGTCTGCTCAGTTTTAAAATTTGGACAAACGGTTTTAAGAGCAATGTCATACTACTCTGCTCTTACACCACAACCACATTTTAGCAAATTTATAGCGTGCAAGACCAGCAGGATTACATTAATTTGAGCACATCAATCTTTTGTAATGACTTGCTGTTCATGGCCATGCTTGCAATGCTTGTTCCAGATAACTTACCACATTATTGGTTCTTTTAGCTGTACTTGGCCAATTTTTTGTTGTAATTATCAATCCAGACTAAAAAAGATTGCTCCGTCAAATCATGAGAAACAAAAGCAGAGACAACGCGTCCTCAATCTGCAAGTGCGACAGTTTGTAAGATGTATGCCGCTGATATTTTTTGGTATTGCAGCTTTAGCGACGTGGCTTCAAACGGGGCTATATGACAATACAAGGCCTGCTCATAGTTTTATGCAGCTATATTTGCGATTTGCTTTGAAGGACCCTTTGAGATGCTCGTTTATATGGCGGGAACACCTTCCAAACGTGCAGAACATTAGCTTTCACTTCTGTAAATCTGGACTTTTTGAAGCAGACTCCAACCAACGTCAAGAAAGACGTGGCCTTAGCATGCATCGCACCATGATGGCTTATTTGACTGCCTTATACTCAAGACTGAGCTCAAAGAGTTCAATTAGTCGAAAATCGTGTTTCCATATGTCAAATTTATAGCCACGTAAAATCCCCTACAAAGCGTTTTCTGGAACTTTGGTGAGATCCTCAGAAACTCGAAGACTTCCTCTACAATTTCATATATAGCAACCCCTATCAGCCCTCTGGCACTCTCTTAGAACATGGCACCAATATCAAAGCAAAAAGCGAGAAAACTTTCCGAATGACCTAATATTAACTCGTCTCAACAAAGTTTTCCAATTTTAACTTTCCACTGCGGTAAGTCACAAACTTCTCAATTCTATTCATAATGCGGGATACCGTTAGATAGAGCAAATCAAGCTTCTACAAGATGGTACGTAGTATTTCGCAGCAGCTTTGGTAGATTTTGAAGCCGAAATCATGAAGTTTCGCAGTGAAAAATGAAGAAAACTCGCATCTTCGTTCAGAAGAAACATACCGGAGCCTCACTCTCACACATATACACTCCACCAGACATTCAGTTCTCAGCTCTCTCAAGCTGCGGGTTCCAGAAATATCAAATTTAGCTTTCCTTACATAGAGTTCCATGCTGAAACATTACCCGGGAACTAAAGCTGACAGAGAGCTAAGAATCTATTGCATTTCTAAAGGCTGTAGTATACATTTACTGGTGAACAGCATAGCATCTTTTTGGTAGAAACTTGAAAATTTTCGCTTTCCCTGTTTCTAGCTCAGAAAGAGATACAGCAACGGTATATGAATATCTTATGCAGAGTGCATATACACCGTGAGAGATCCGGCAAGTTTACTCTTGAACGAGAATACAATTTTTCAATTTTCGGACATCCTTCTTCTAATCGCCTTCAGACTCAAAGCCTACTTGAAATGGTACAACTAAATACGCCATCTCGCAGAGTTCGCTTTCTCCATCAAAGGTATCCTGCCTCCTAACTGAATATGAGAACTGTATGAATATTGCGGTAGAAAGTCAAAATTGAAACATTTGAGACAACCTAAAGTTTTGTTAATGAGACTTAGTCTGCACATAAGTGTACTTCAAATGGACTTTATGATGCAAAACTCTTGTGATGTACAACGCTCGAGAAGAAAGAACAATGAGAAATCAGAAGTTACTTGAACCTTTAGTTTCAGCCATTTCAACTACACCCGATCAGCACCTCTGAGAGTACTCGTGTTGATGACTTCTTTATCTAACAGTCTATTGCGATGCTTTCGAAATATTGACTGACACACCCAATGTGAACTGTAACAAAACTCAAAAAAATTCATTAGGTGTCGCGATCATTTTTGTAATGAAACTAGGCATCAAAGACCAGTGTACCTAATATAACGAGTCGTTACAACAGAACAATTAGAGCGAAAAATGAAGTGTGTAAGAGAGTTAACGACAATAGGAACAACGCAGTATCACAGTCCAGGTAAGAAAAGCATATGAAGTCTCATAGCCCAGGTAAGAAAAGTTCAAGTTCAGTTACTCTACTGATCTCCAAATAGAATCAGAAGATTAAGATAAACTAGCGAAATTTACCAAACATGAGGGTAGCAAGTTAAAAGTAACCGTACTCACTTCAAATCCCAATCCAAAGCGCCTTCCAACCAGCAGAAGCGGACGCAATGTGATGCATACCATTTTTGCAACAAGACTCCTCAGTATATCAGTAACATGGACACAAACAGGACGAGAAGACTAGTGATAAACACTTTGTTCTCTGCTAATCAGTTACTTGCACTACGCTCTTGACTCTTTTGGATACTTCACAGCGAAATTATGAGAGCGGGTGGCGAACAGTGCAGAGTGCAAAGTGTTTTTTAACACATCAGAGCTATGTCTTGTGGCCATCAAAAGATTTCTTGATTACGGAGCAACAGCTCACTTAAATTAGACCGAAAGATAAAAACAGATGTGCCAAGAAACTTGCTTTACAATGATGCAAAAGTGCTGCAATGATAAAAAAAACGTCTAGCAACTTGCAATGAACTCTACACTGCAGCTTATTTTCCGTAAATTTTCTCGAGCAAAGAAAGATCTGCGGAATGCTAACTAAACCTTTTAACTTTCGCATGATCAAGTAATATATGACGGAATCGATAGCTGCAGTATCAGAAAATTTAATCTGGACCTACGCAAAAACAATGCACTTTTGCGAAGTTCTTTGGTGGAGCAAACGTCGCAGATTGGACGTTCGTGTCTTGATGAAATGTAAACTATGCTGTTTACTCCAAACATGGTGAGAGAACGAGCAAGAAACTAGAGATGACTCCAAAAAATTGATCACACTCCAAAAAATGCTTTGATCATCAGCGTCAGTTCTACAAATTTCTTTTTTGAGAAAGAAGGAAGAAAAAAGAAATTGCTTCCGATAGAAATTTTGTAAAAGGAAAGCGCCGGAAGATTCGTCCTTAAAAAATTACTACAAGCTGACTCAAACATTTTAAATAATCGAAAAATAGCTGACTCAAAAACTCATTGAGATCGAAAGATAATCCAATCATTTACGGATAAGATTGCATAAATCCATGACTTTATTCTCAGAAAAGGAGAAGCGACTACAGACCACGACTTGCCAGCAACTCTGCCTGTCGAAAGCTGCTGTTGAGAACGGCTAGCTATGGCATATGCACAGAACCACAAGTAAAAAAAATTTTTTAGGAGCATGACGGTCCGCTTGGGTGCCTGAATTAAAGAAAAAGGAAGGCCTAATGGAAGGCAATTGCTCATATACTAGCGGATGAAATAAAATTAGCCGCAATTAGGGCAAGAGGGATGATTGAAGCGCTGATCTACTATACCATTACAGGCAGCGTTTCGGCAAACTAAACCTAAACAGATTTATGGGATGTTACCAAACCGAACTACTGCCCATCTCACCAACAGTGGAAAGGACTTCAATTTAGGGCAACGAAGGCCTAATCTTGTGAGAAAACAGTATTGAGATAATGACTAACCAAGATCACGATAAAACCAGCAATTTATAGTATCCTGGAATTTACTGCAACGATACTTTAAGAGAGAATAAAGTTTGCCATGCCGATCGTGTTCAAATCATTGAGATCAGGCAAGTGGGACTTGACAAGGGAATGGTCAGAAATCGAAGTGTCCAGTCCACACAAGCTGAAATTAGATGCAGCATAGAACTAACTATGCATACTATACTAAAGCATAGCTAACTTCGAATCTGTATTCCAATCTGCTTAGCGCCTATGTGGGCGAAGTTATGAGCCGTCAAAGGGCGTTATTTTGCTAAGAAATAGTGCAAAGCGCAAATTTGGCAGTAAAGAGCCATGTTCGGCTTAATGCCGTGCCAAGACATGCAGCTAAATTACTTTCTTATGGCTTAAAGGTGAGTTGAAAGTGCAACGATGTGCTCAATTTCGCAGTTTTCATACACAAATTTTTCGCAAAAAGACTGTTCATAATTTTGTCTACAAAGGCGCTATGCAGTTATGGAATACAGATTCAAAATTAGCATTGAGTGCTGCATCGAACGGTAGGCAGCTTGCCTGGATTGGCCACCTCGACTTTTGACCATTCCCTTGTGAGCTCCATAGAATTCCCGAACTCAATAAGCGTTCAGCTAGGACAATAATATGGAAATGCAGATATGGGAAAATATACAGAAATGCATGCTGATAGCTGATGCAGCTGATATTTCATTCTTCAACAAATCTACAGCAATATCGACGAATGTCTGGGATTCTTTATAGCCGCTGGCGAAAAAACCAATGGAATTCGATATTTGCAAACTCAAATGCATGCAGCCATCCTACAAAGTAAAATGAGTGACAGCCGATTTCATGTCACTCAGAGCGCCAAGACAAAAAGCTCGGCTCGAGAAATCCGACTGGAATGTGCGGCGCTTACTGTACTGCGAAGCCATGACTCAGAGATTATGCTATATACGAAAAAAAAAAACTACGTTATGTTACTAAAAAGTTCCGTAGCTGTTCGGAATGCAACTGCCATTTTTCTGGGCAAGCATTATCACTAATGTAGAGGAGATGTTGTGGCAACGTAAGTGTTTTATAGCATGGTGGAGAGTAATGTCACTTATGACTCTTCAGCAGAAGCACAAGAAAAACGTCTACAGAAACGGTATATCAAGAGACTTAGCCCACTCTCACATCTCCACATAATGCGGGGAACTGCTAGCCACAACTTTTGTTTACAAAAGTATTATGAGTAAAGTTTTTACCCTGCTGACACTAAATCAACATGGTTAGCTTTCACTTAGAGCCATCTGTCCTATTGATACACTAACACAATCTTCTTTTCACCAAAGGTGCATATTCAGTGCAAAATTGGTCGATATGTACTTGGAAGGCAAAACACTCAAGAAAACAGAGCATCGCAGCGCAAAAATCTTTTGGGGTATCAGTGGTAGATTTTATTTGAAATCCCTGGCAAAAACTCTTGGTTGGAAAGAGCAATGACTAAACTCGATCCAGAGTTCGGCATTCATTTTGAACCTTCCAGGCTGCAATTATTAGCTGAAAATTGTGCCTCAAGGCTTGAATATCACTAGAATTATTAGAATATCAAATCACTTGACAGAATGTACATCTGCACATGTTACATTGCGTGATATTTACACATGAATATATCTATACATTCCAAAACAAAATCCAAAATCTCAGTTTCGTTTCATCCAATCAGATGGATTCCCCAATAGACCTTAGGAACCTTAGACCTAAGGCATACTAAGTACAAGGAGGTGGATGGATACCGTAAGCGAACTTAGGATCTTAGACATAAGGCGAACTAGCTACAAGTAAGATTATGGAGAATAGTTGCTCGTCAAGATTCTAAAATAAAGTTCTCAATGAAATTCCAAGAACATAGCAAATTTTCTCAGAAAATATCAGTTCAGACTGTCCAATCACATGAAAAATGAGTGTGGAGACAAGCGGCAGAAATCGAATTCTAGAAAGTATCAATCTAATGATGAGTAAGTATGTCATATGGAAAAAGAGCTTGGAAAATGCCACGTTTCGCGAGCTAATGTAGTCCCAGATGTGACGAATGCTAATGAAGCTTATAAGCAGAGCTCGGATTCTCGTCTGACTTAAGTAGGGAGAAACAGGATGTCTGATAAGAAAAAGATACTACCAAAAACATTGTTGAACAGGACAAAAGGTATCTGCTGCAAAAACGCTATGTGAAAGAATAACATCGGGGCGATTACTGTCAATTTTTTTGGCAAAATATGACTAACATTCAAGAGTAGTTGCACAATGAATGTTTGTTCTTTTTTAGAGCCTGGATACCTTAATCATGGAAGTTGCTATCAGTGGAAGTGTCATAAGGCCGACAGAAAAGGGAACAAAATTCCCAAAAAAGCGATGATGTCAAAATGCACATCCTGCCAGATGTTGTAAATAAAAACAAAAGCACCAGAAAAAAGGTGGGCGTAACTGAACAGCAATTGTTAAAAAAGCATGCGCCGCAAATTCTCAATACACAGCAAAATGTTCTCTAACAAGGGAAGTTCACTTAGTCGAAGTGGCGATTCGGAAGGAGATCTATACCAGTAGATAGAGCTTAACACGTTTCGGACCGCGAAATCGCGCGCGGTGAAAAAGAGGGTACTTTCAGCCGTTAGCCAACAAAGGGACATTAATTCGCAGATTGTGTGCTACATCTGTAATCAGCATGTCAGATAAGATCCGTAGACAGTGTTCTGAGCGAATTCGAAGTGTTTGAATTTTGTCATCTGAGGACTTCTGTGCTTTCTTGAAAGATAGGAAGAACTCAGTTTCTAATTGTATCCAAAAGTATCTATGTTGTACACGATACACATCATTATTGGAACTACGGTTTTTCTATTTGTATTCGAAGTTAGAAAAAGTTGCGATGTCGCACGCGTCGTTCGCGTTCGCACTTAGTTGCAACTGATGTTCGATTTGTCCTCATATCTCCTGAACAAATATCGATGGCAGAGCTCTAAAGACCCTTTCGAAAAGGAGGAGCTTAGGCCTTTGACTTGATAACCTTGGACAAAAAAGAAAACCTCTTGTAAACGTTGAAAAGATCCTTCAAAGGCGCGAGCTGCACCATGTGCAGCACCGGTCCGAAACGTGTTAAAGGCTAATCTCACAAGGGGCGGACCCAGTGCCAAAAGTGCGAAATGAGGTAAGCTATACAGCATCTGAATCAGCGTGAGACGCTGATTTCAAATCTGTATCCATTATCTGCCAAGCGGTTCTCTAAAAGGAGTAATGAGCCTCGGTTTCTCGCTGACATGTCAAGTTTCGTTAAGTAGGATCCGCACCAGGAAACAATGTGTGGTCGTCTGGTGTAGTGGATAAGCGCGGAGCCTATGGAGCAGATGTTCGAGGGTTCGAATCCTTTTCCCGTTCAACATTTTTGCAAGTTAAGAATATGTTTGTTTTGCGCTGTAAGGGGTATTCCGCGCACATGTACGGACTTCATATCATAATCTACTGCTGAGAAGTTGGGATTTTCGCAACTTTTTTCACCAAGGTTTTAGCCGCTGGTATGACAGTCAGCGGTATATCTTACGTATGTGAGTGACAAGGTGCTGTGAGTTTTTACATAATTTCTGCTGCAAATTAACATTTTGAAGCGTTACAGAGCCTCACTGACACAATTTTGGTAACCAGACAATTATACGGATCTATGATAGGAAACAAAGTGCTCGAAACAAAGCAACTTCTCGCAATGAGCACAATGAAAAATAATTGATCGCAGTCACCAATTTCACAGTTGCCTAACATGGAAGGCGAAAAACAGTACTGAATCGGACTTTCGAAATGTCCGCGGTGGGCTTCTATGTAACCGGATGCAAACCATGCGTAAGAGATGAAATTTCTGAATCTTTGCGAACAAATTTGGTGGTATATTAGAGATAAAATCTTAAGTATCGAGTCTCTATGATGAAGATTGAATGAAATATCATGACCCAACACGTATGATGTGAAACGCTGAAACGCTAAGAAAAATTGCGAAAATCCCAACTTCAGCAGTAGAATATGCTCTGAAGTCCGTACATGTGCGCGGGATACCCCTTATAGCGCAAAACAAACATATTCTTAACTTGCAAAAATGTTGAACGGGAAAAGGATCTGAACCCTTGATCATCTGCTCCATAGACTCCGCGCTTATCCACTACACCAGACGACCACACATGGTCTTCAGGTGCGGATCCTACTTAATGAAACTTGACATGTCAGCAACCGAGGCTCATACCTCCTTTTCGAGACCCGCTTGGCAGATACTGGATACAAATTTGAAATCAGCGTCTCACGCTGATTCAGATGATGTATAGCTTACCTCATTTCGCACTTTCGACTCTGGGTTCGCCCCTTGTCAGATATACCTTCTATATCTGCGATGCGTCGTTCTGAAAAAAGTTATGAGCTTTTCTAAAGCCAAATTTCAGTGCATTTTGAGTCGCAAAATCATGATAATCGTTACACAAAAGTGTGCAAGCTCAAGCAAACCACCTAATAAGCATTGTAGGTCTAATTCGAGTTCTTCCGAATGCTACCGAATGTTTTTCGACCATGTTGTTCATCCACAGGTCGTCTTTTCATTCCTAGATCACATTCCATTATGTATACAAAAAAGCCCCATAACCTCCATCTAGAAAAACGCGTCCCGTAGGAAAACTTTTTGGAAACTACCAATGGATAGAACGTAAAACAATGTCCTCAAGTATATCTTCAATATCTGCGACGCGTTTTTCTAGATGGAGGTTATGAGCTTTTTTGTATATATATTGGAAGTGTGATTTAGGAAGGAAATGGCGACCTGTGGATAAACAACATGGTCGGAAAACAATCGAAAACGTTCGGATGAACTCGAATTAGACCTACAATGCTTCCTAGGTGGTTTGCTTGAACTTGCACTCTTTTGTGTAGCGATTATCATGATTTGGAGACTCAAAATCCACAAAAATTTGGCTTTAGAAAAGCCCATAACTTATTTTAGAACAACGCATCGCAGATATAGAAGGTATATCTGTGATCAGCTTTTCAAGCTCTATCCATTGGTATAGATCTCCTTCCGAATCGCCACTTCGACTGAACTTCCCTTGTTAGTCATGAAAAAGCTACGATTCAATCAGGTTGGCAGAGAAATCTCAGCCAGACCCATTGATAAGAACAACGCAAAAGGTACGGGAGAGCCAAGGTAATCTCAGAATTGATCCCTACATCGATCACAAAAAAGATGACGGGAAAAAGTTCTTTCATTTCCTTAATTGAAAGGGAAAAGCCACGAAGGTCTAGTACAAGCCGCAGAAATCAAAGAATGTGTGAGTAGGGGTATGCACATTACAAGAAGTGCACATTTGCAGAAGCTTTTTGATGCACTACCCACGAATATTAGCATAAAAAACAAAATAGTGGGACCTTTAGCACAAACGAACTCTATCAACAGTTGTTATCAAGATTCAGGTAGCCTAAAATATACCGCTTGTGATGAGATAGCGACGAAAATGACGACTGCATAACAATTATACATAATGGCTAGACAATGACAAAACTTAAAAAGAAATCCAGTTATAAGATTAGTGCAAGGTTCAAACTGCGTCATTTCATTACTGAGCAGAACGAAAAACAAGTCAGCAAGTAATACACTTAACAGACCACCTATGTATTGAATTACTCTTCGCAATATCGATAACTTGCAAGTGAAGGCCAAGCGGGAATCATCCCCGCAGTTGCAAATCAGACAATGTGAAAGGAAATTGAAAACGCGAGCATGGCAAAACGTAGAGTAAACACATATCATCCATTATTGAAGAAATAGAAGTCAGCTATGTTTCGAGGGTAAAATTGATGCGATCAAGAGAATCGATACAATTGTGATGGTAACCCTATTTTTCTTTCACTACCCACACGACGAAAACATGCTGCGTTAATCCTGAGCTTTCGCATATTGCCTGTGTAGTGAGAAAGCAGAAGTTTGACAAAAACTTTGTTTCCAGAATGGAATATACTGTAGAGATTAAAATCCTAATGAATTAGCAACATCATCTCCTATTTCCAACTACCCATTCCCCATGGCACAAAAAAACAGAAAGTAGAACTCTGATCGCCTAGGTATGCAATAATGTGTAAATACAGCGTAATCAACGCGTAACCTGTAGTGCAAAGATTTTTTTACATTTCTTTTATTAAAAACCAGCCAAATATGTATTCATCATAGTAAATGGAACGGATACACACAAAAAATGTCAAAAACAATCCGCACTTAACACAACGTATGAAAACAACGTATTCAGAGAAAAATACACGCAAATGTTTACTCTGGCTGAGCAAGAGGATTTTTCAAAACCAGGATGACCGAATCGCCTCGCAGGAACATTTTGGAGATAAAGCGATCCTTAGGCACAGCTTTAGCCTGCAAAAGGTTTTGTTTAGTTGAAACCAATGACGGAAGACGCACGACTAAGCAAAATATGCGATCAAGGAGTGCTTTTTTCGACCTTGTACCTGATTCAGTGTTTCGCGTTAACTCAACATAAGCGGAAAAGATAACAACAGTGTTATTTTTGCTCCGCGCTGCGTCTTCTTTGACAAAATTAAGCAAACCAAAAAAAAACAACAGAGAAAACCATTTGAACCGACAATCCCAAAGAAAACTCTCAACGATGAGCTTAAACTCAAACAAACATATTCTGTTGAGATTGTGTTGAAAAACGATGGAAAAATGATTTTCACACAACAACGAAAAAAAAAAACAACAGGAAATAGATTACCAATAAGAAATCAAGAACAAATAGTTGGCAAACCTTCTTTTTTCCCTTTCCAGTTTTTGGCTGTTCTGTCCACATCTCCTTGACGTTCTCAAGAACCATATTACAGTGCCTGGAGAATGCAATATGTATTAAAACAGCACACGCAAGAAATCAGATAAATCAAGAATCATGTATAATGGAGATCTAATCTACCTGTCGAATGCTTTGACTCGTCCAAGGAGCTTCTTGTTGTTCCTGCAGTTGATTAGGACCTAAAGGTGAAGGTTTCATAAAAGTAGAGACTTTATGATGATGGCAGGAATCAAAATTGCAGATGAGAACAGAATCCAAAGCAACTTTGAAAAAGCTGCACAAACTTTTAAGTATGCAGATGAACGCTGGCTGCAGACTATTGAGCTAAAAAATTAACTTGTCAGAAAAGGAATGAAAAAGCTACTCAAATTTGGAAAATTTTACACTAAAGTAAGTGTAAAAAGTTGTAAAAGGTAGTGAGCTTGCTAACACACAACAATCAAATGTTGCTCATGTGAGAACCAGTAGAATCCGCATCCAAAATCTGCTTCCGCAGCAATACTGATTCTCCTATTATTTGTACGCAGGTTTGCTAAGGCGGTGAGGAATTCTGAGAGAAAGAGGACACGCAAGCAAATGATTCTCTTTAAAAAACTACCTGGGCGTTGTTCTTCACAGAATTGTTGAGGATTGAAAGCGGTCCAACGTTGAATTCCTCCTGTTCCTTGGCAGCCAGCTCCTCCTGAGTCATTTCAGCGCGAGGTTTGGTCATACTGCAAAAAAGTTATTTTTTACTAGTAAGTCACATTCGGGATCAAAAACTTGGACTGATTATTTTAACCAGCACGAATGGAAAAGACTTCAAAGGCTCCAGAAAAACTGTTTGTTTTCATCTCACTGTTCATTTTTTCCAGTAGACACTCAAAATGGTGACTTCGAAACGCTGGTATATAGTATGTCCAAAATAACGCCCTACATTTTAATTGAAACTTAAATAAGGAAAGAGTGATAACTTTATTCATGAAAAAAATCCAAAACTCACGCCGACATGATTGCTAGCTTTTGAAGTTGGTGAAGTTTCTGGAAAAGAGAAGATGATTAATTACGATTGTGATAATGTCAAACAGAAAAGAGTACAATGAAACGAAAACCGTAAATACATAAAGCACCAAAATCGCAACAAAAAGTATGGAAAAACGTTGCGAGGAAAATAAACCGGAATCGAATTTAGCTCAGTGATGCACTGATTTGAAAACTAAAACTCGCAGAAACAAAGATACAAAGAGAAATCTTTATGTTTTCGAAAAATATCGGAAGTGCAAAAGCGCGGCGCGTTGGTATTCGAAAATCTGCCGTCAGAAGCGAGCGGACGCGTTACGCGGACATTTTCGCAGTACTAAAAAGCACTAACGAAAGCGTGAGAAATACGCCGATGACTTCATAGTGGTTGTGCTGCTGGGCGCACTCGACAGCTTTGCGCAGAGGCGATAACGTGACCAATGAGGCTTTGCCGAGGTGCGTTTATTGCTGGTTGAAAACTTTTCCCAATTGCCCGCGATGGCCCCTGAAACACGGGTGTCATACGCAATTTTTGAACGCCTCGAGGAGGCAGAAAGACGAAGCTAAAATTTAGGCAGGTGCGCTTACTATCAGGTTGTCCCATAGGTTCCGCCCGTTTTGATTTTCAATAGCAATTAATCGTGAACTTCTCGTTTCTAGATAGGATCTAAGGTACCGTTCGATAGAGCAAAGCAAGCTCTAAAAGAGGGCTATCTCGCTTTTGCACTAGCTCTGATCCATCTCGAGTTTCAAGGCGAAAACTGAAAAGATTTAACTGCCCGAAAAATCGAAAATCGAGAAAAAACCATAACTCCGTTCAAGAAAATCCTGCAAAAATTCTAACTTGACGAAGATTTTCATGTTTTTGCTAAAGCGATGCTGTGCTGTTCCTACATAGATAGTTGTATACTACTGACCTGTAGAAGTACAAATGTAAACTTTCAGCTCTCTACAGGCACTAGCTTTCGAGAAATATCAAATACAGCTTGCCTTAGTTGGTGCCTTACGCTAAAATCCATATTTCTCGAAAAACTAGTAACTGTAGAGAGCTGGAATTATATTTGTACTTCTACAGGCTAGTAGTATACAACTATCTATGTAGGAACAGCACAGCATCGCTTTAGCAAAAACACGGAAATCTTCGTTCTCCTAATTTCTAACCAAGGAAGAAATACGAGAACGGCGTATATGTCTTAGCTGGATAGTATTTACGCGAGCAAGTTAGAATTTTTGTAGGATTTTCTTAAACGGTATGATTTTTTCTCGATTTTTCGGGCAGTTAAATCTTTTCAGTTTTCGCCTTGGAACTCGAAATGGATCAGAGCTGATGCAAAACCGAGATAGCCATCTTGTAGGGTTTGCCTTGCTCTATCGAACGGTACCTTAGAACCTATCTAGAAACAAGGAGTTCACGATTTATTGCGATTGAAAATCAAAACGGACGGAACTTATGGGACAACCTGATATATCCAATACAAATGCGATCGACATGAATTCGAAGTGCTAAGAATAGGCACTACGACAAAGCTTGCAAAATTTGAAGAGCTAGAGTTCAATCCAGAACTTCATCCCAAGCACCGATAGAAGCTCAATACAGTAAACAAACGGACAAACATGAATAAACAGATTTTGAACTACTCAGTCAGGTCTGTGAGTTATAAGTTGGAGATTCGAGGTAAAAGTGGTCGAAACTCTTTGAACCGCACACCGAGATTGGCATCTTCCTCATCTGATAAACGCACATATGCAAGTTTGTACCTATGTACATTTGTCCTGTATGTACGTTTGTGGCTCTTGCTTCCTAGTGATTCTTCCTTTGTAAGTCCTGATGCGCTTATTCATGCACTCGACAATTACAGACTGAAGAAGGTGTAGCCGAAGTGCCAACAAATGGAGAAGGTACCAATTATGTGCAGCTTAAAGACTTCCAAAAACGTTCTACAATGCTGGGATTGAGCGACAGTTGAGCTTTAGGGATTGCCCAGGCTGCTGTCTCCATAGCGTTTAAGACGGAAAGGGCATTTCGGCTCTTTCGGGCTTTTCTGGGTTTTTTTGGACTTCGGGCTTTTTGGGCTTTTTTAGGCTTTTTTTCGGCGAAGTATAACGGGTCCAGTAGAGAGCGCGCGAAACGTATAGGCTATCATGAGGTCCTAAATGATCGTCAGCGCCTGCAACCTCGGCAACCAGCAACCTGGGCAACGCCGACAACCTATGACCGTTCGCCAAACGGCACCCCAAGCAAGCTCGGGGACCTCGGAAACAGTTACTAGCAACCTATGGCCAATCCCTTGGGTGAGGCACTAAATTCTACAGTTGCGTTGTCAGCAGTAAGCTGCTGATCTAAGTTTTGCTGTTCACACTTTAGTTCCGTCTGGTTCTGGCAGCTTCCAACAGGCCTTCATTCAGAATATCAATCTAACATAGAAAATGACAGCGGTCATAAAGATGGCCAAGCTACAGTCTGCTCCAAACGGGATCAGGGCAAGGCGTCGGCGTGAATTTGCGCGCTCGCAGCGCTAGCGGTCTCGCTGCACATGCGCGCTGTCGGGATAACCAAAGCGTTGCCTGTTAGGATTGGGACATGTATATACTAATGAATAAAGGACTATATGTTGCCGAAAAGAGTGATCCCCCGCGCACTTCTGCAACGCCGGGGTCCATAAATGACTGAGACTAAAAAATTTGTCTAATTTATAATCCGAAGCCACTAAAAGCCGCTCCCTGTGATCCAGTCTTTGTCACACAGCACAAACAGTAGGCCCTCACGCACGAATGCGGTTGATAGGTAAACTAACAAGTAGCTCGCTTAAAACGTTATTCAGCGCAAGGGTAACAGATGGAAAAAAAACCTGAAAAACACCGGCAGTCGGATGTGAAGAACAAAATAGGAGACGTCAGAATAAGAATGACCATGCATGTGACAAAGATTTCGAATTGAGGCATCGTACGATATGGGTCCGGAGACGAATTGCATACCATGCCCTATGCTCTCGAATTAGGCACTATAATAAAAGTCATATACATCAGCCATTTTGAATGATGGGAGTCTTGAGCGATTCACCATTTCTTTGCAGTCTATGGTCTCAGAGTGATGGTGTGAGTGGGCTAATTTTTGGTTGCAAGTTGGGACTCAATATATTAATTTTTGGTGTCTGCTGGCGCGCATGAGTTTATCGATTGCAAGTACTTGTTGAGCAATCCTCATTATCTGTATCTTCTTTTCCTCGGAGCTGGTCACTATTGCTTAGAGCTCGCATATTAGACTCATTGACCTTGAAGATAGATTCTGATGAAGATCGACCCTCTAGAGGTCCGCTTCTTCTGGTTCAGATCTTCAAAGCACTCCAAATCGCAACTTGTGCGAGCAGGAAGATACAAAACGAAGTGAAATTAGCCCTGCCAATAGGCCCCTTTAGTGATCCTTTTTTTCACATGCTACAGTATACAGGATCGCGCACGATGCAAAAGGAGCCGGCCATACTATTCCAGTAGGTGATTCCTGCGATTCCTGTAAATCCTGCAATTCCTGTGATTCCTCGACTTCGTGCCGCATTACGGAACGCTTTGCGAATTTTAGTATGCGCTGTTTTTCCGCGATATACATTGTTGTGTGGGTCCTGCAGCAATCAGAGGAATCATAGGAATTGCAGGAATCACAGGAATAGTATGGCCGGTCCCAAACGAGTAGTATAACATTTGTTTCTTTTTTCTTAAATTCAGATATCTATGTGTTCTGCCACCTGCAGCGCATCTTTTTATTGGATGGCTAATGAAGATTTCGGGGAGTTTTGGATACGTGGCTCTTCAAATCATTTCTTTCGCATTCGGCAATTTGGTAACAAATTATGTCAAAGGTTTTGCAAAAGAAAACCAGCTCCCTAGTGACACTTTTGATTTTTATCGATCCGATCAAATCGATTAAATCTACACAACAGAAAAACCCGATCTGCTATAGGCGATTCGTAGCACGCAAAGACTGCGAACATATCGGCGTCTCAATGATCGAGCGCCCTTTTGTTTCTCTTACCATCTGCTGTCTCTTTCATGCACAAACTATCTTGGCCGGACGCAATGGCGCCCAGTCTTTGCGTGTCATAAATCGTGTATAATTTTTGTTTTGCGCTGAACAAAGAATTTCGTCTACAACTCAACCCTTTTTACATTTATCAAGAATATCCATAAATTAAAATTATTACATATTAGCATTAGCGAATCATAATCAATCAATATCAATCATAATTTTATAGGAGAATAAGTTAACAAAGAAATATCGTCAAAGGTTGGATCAAAAGTGTACTCTAGTTCTTTTACTCGTCGTTGCCTGGCTTGAAACACAGTATTTGATAGGATCAAGGAGCGATCGAGTCTGAAATCAAAAGGGCTTGCTGAAAAATAGATACATCTACAGTAAAAAAAAATTATTGGAGCTGCAGAGTTTCCGGTCGCAACTCAACAAACTTACCTTTTTTGCTTTTTGTAATAAGTTATAGCCACGATGTATGCACAACATAGGGCCACTGACAGGATAAATAATAGTACGATGAAGATGAAGTACTGGCAGTCTGCAAGAAATTCGAGCATTATCATATGGATACGAGAACAATACGAAAAAGGAGTTATCTTCAAAGTTTGTTTTCTTAGTTGAATTTTTCAAAACATCACCCCTTTTGCTATTTTTGAAAAAAAAACGAACACCTCTGTGAATTCGAAGGTGTTTCTAAGATTTTGTGACACCTTTAGCTTTTTATTGAGCTCGGAAAGTGGCACCCAAGAGCAGTAGTATCTCCATTGAAATAAGAACGATAGACAAAAGTCTGTTCTATAGGATAATGAGCGATTTTTTTAGTTCCGTTCTCCTGGTCTTATTTTTCTCATTTTTACTAGAACTACTAAGTAGTTGTACTTACCTATGGGTATGACTTCGTCTATAACTTTTCTAATGTTCAGAACAAATAGGACTGCATTAGCATTGGTTGCCAGTACCTGAAATTTGAATAAATGAGAAGTGATAAGAACCACAGTCCGTTTAAGCTGAAATCTTGATCTTGAAATCTTGATTTTGCTTAGGCCTTTTCAAGCAATACAAAGATTTGCTATTGCGGTACTTTTCACGTAATGAGAAGGACAACAAAGAGGACTCCAAGTGACATCAAGACGTACCGACAAGAATATATGCAATGGTTGTGGGACACATCGTTCGAGCACAATGCCAGAAATGAATATGGAGAAAATCAACAACCACTGAATAACGACTGAGCAGAGCAATGCCTCTTCGCCTGAAATGTCAAAGTTAAGACAAGGTTAAATTACAGAATCGCCTTTTTCTTTGCTGAGGATATCATGGCCAACAGGACACATTATATAATCTTATCTCAGCATAAGAAAACGTACCAAACACCTCGTCCATGAAACCATCCTTGTGAAGAGGCATTCTTCCAAAATTATGAAAGAAGCAGATGGTATTGTACAAAAACGCCAGAGCTGCTACAGCTCCATAAATAGCCGCATGGGTCTGCAAAAAATACAAGTAAGTTTACTAAGCTGCAATGTGAAAAAGCGGTAATAGGTACAGAAAAGAAAACCTACTACTGTGTATGGTATCCACTCCAGTTTAATCTCATTTGTTTTTAGTGATTTAGCGTTCAATCTTTTCGGAGACTGAAACCGATTTTATGAAAAAAAAAACATCATCGAAAAATGCATGAAAATATAAATTGGCCTACCGCTCCAATGGAAATGACGTATGGTGGAGGTGGCACATCTTTCGAACTGCATGGAGAAGAATGGCACAACATGGTGACCGTTTGATAAACTTCATGTTTTCTCCTTTTATACCGAGAATGGTTTCGAGAGGCAATATTTTATTGCCCGGCCAGTAAGCGGCTAATTCTTTTTATCACTGTCTTTAACCGATGCCGACTTGCCATCGGCAGTTGAACCTTGGCAAGTGATGACTCGTTTGTGGAGCATTTAGTATTGTAGGTCATGGCCATCTTAACTTGCTTGAGGTTCAGATAATTGTTTGGAAAGAAGGAGAGAGTTTTATCTAATTGATTGTTCTTTCTTATAGTTGTTTTTTCCCTCAGAATTAACTAACAATGTAGAAGGCGAAACTTCCTTGGTTTGAGTCTTCACTATCTCTGTACCAATGCTAATACATACAAGGTCGAGATTTTTTTTTGCAAAATTGTAATGAAGAGAAAAATCCTCTCGGTTCTGGCCTTTTATTATATCACTAGCTTGCTTACCCGGCTTCGCTCTCTCGGTTCTGGCCTTTTATTATATCACTAGCTTGCTTACCCGGCTTCGCTCGGCTCTGTCAAATAAAGTTCCCATCCATGTCCCTGTAAAGCCTTCCCCTGTGCCCTCTTTTACACTTTATTTCCCGTTCCTTGTGTTGTTTTCGAAATCAGCATGCCCACTTACCCCCCCCCCCTGTGCCAACTCCCAACCCTGTAGCTCAAACTCTGCAAAGAATCGATAAAATCGATAAATGTAATCGATAATTCTGAAATAATATTGTATTCGGAATCGCCATGCTCACTTACCCCCTGTATAAAAATCGATAAAATCGATATTGATCGATGACGAAAAGTAGCCTATGACACGCTCTCTGCCCCGAAGTATATGTGTGCCAAGTTTGATCCAAATCGGTTCAAAAGTAAAAATTTCTATTCCGCACATACGTACAAACATACATACATACAAACACACATTCAGCTTTATAGTAAAGATTTGACAAATAGTGAAACAAATTTGGTGGTATTTTGGTAAATCCTCTCCGTTGAAAAAATCTATGGACCTTCTTCACTTGCAGTCAATTTTTGATATCGCCCATCAAAACATATTTGAGACACAGAATTCTGTATAATGTCAATGCCTTTCGACATGAAAAGTCAAACTTTTGACTTACAGTTTTGGTAAACTTGTACGTATAGGTTTTCCTTCCTTTCTGCTAGATATTTAGCGCAGGTAAGTCATTTTCGCCGGATTAGATGGGAATGACGCACAGTTTAGATGGAGGCAGTGAAGATTCTCATATTTAGGCCGATAGCAGCCTAACATTGGGTAACGCAAGGTTAGCAGCAAATAGTCAGGTCACCTTGATGATCTGGACATACTCAAACATATAGGGTAGCTTACGGCTTCAGTTTATGAATATTCATTCAACTTAACGCAACCAATGATACTGTGGATTCTTGAGACGTTTATCTAAATACCGCTTTACCCTTTATCAGGCCAATAAACTATTAAGAGTCAGGAAGGACCTGTGCAATCTTTGTGGATGGAGCTAGACAACTCTGTTAGTTGAATTATTAGTCAACTACAGCATGAAATTTAGCTGTGATCTCGCTAGAAACTAGTGAACCAAATATAGCAGTTTGAAAATCAACACAGCAGTGAGAAGTGACTAAGAAGTATAAACTGAGAAGATTTACTCTAGACATGAATGGCTTATTTCAGTGGATTCCGCAATACAATGTTGTTTTAGGGTTATGTACCTCATTGTTGAGCGAATATTTTTTCGGGTCGAAGAAATACCCTGTCAAACGCCATATCGAAAAGATTCAGTAAAGGCGCCGTTTCTTAGTCTTTATTTATCTTCATACTTTGATGAGACGACACACATGTCACCTCATTAGCTTTGCATAAAGTTCAATGCAGTATCATCAAGAAGATTTTCACTGCTTTTCAAGATCTAACTGTGGTTCGTTTGAGTCCAGCATTCAGAATTTCAAATTCTGCCAAATTTTTAGCCTCTTTTGGCAAGCTACAAATTTTGTTGTAAGATAAATTCAGAAAAAAGTTGGAAGCCTGTAAGCACAGAAGCACCTTTAGCTCAACTGTATCATGTATTTTTATTTCATCCTATTCCGTTCTCCTTGAGATGTAAACACGATCCCCTCTGGAAATGTTGTTCGAAAAATGATGCCAGTGTGATGGTGTGAAGCTAACTGATCAAAGTATCCATTTTGCTTCAAAATTGCACATAAGCAGATTTATTGATATTTCTTCACATTCTAGTGAACAACACTGATAACAATAACAATAAGAAGTAAAAAGAGTGATAACGGCAGCATGCATATCACAGATGAGGCAAAGCTGGGACGACATGATATCCAGCACAGGAAATCAACAACCCGCATATATTTGACCAAGAATATGGTACAATCTAACCAAATCTCAACTCCTGAGAGTGTCAATACTCGAGAATGAAGAATGAGGATGGAAACATGGAAAAATAATCTAGAATCATCACAGAAGATGAGCTTATTTACAATTTTCTATGCGAATATAGACACTAATCGATGGTCCCTGTAAAATGGAATTGTTCCAATGAAAGGAATAGCTACCCAAGCAACGAATCACAGTGTAAGTGGGGAGGAAGCTATATTTGTCTGGGTGATGATAGGAAGAGGATGTGCTTCGGTATTAAATACCCATTTATCTAGCGAAATTACTGAGGGGTCAGCGAAGGTTAGATAAGCATATTTTAGAGTTTCGGCAAGAAAAAATGATTGCTGGACGTCGTCGTAGCCCTAAACATGTTTTAAAGATAAGAAAAAACGCATACATCATTACAACACACTAGTTCTTGAAAAAAAACTAGATCTCATGAAAAACGAAATTTTGAATTATGCTTTCAAAAATCAGAGAGAAACCTCACCGCTGAAGGATTGTAGACGTTGTAAATACCCGAAAATCCTCCTTCAACCCGACAATGTTTGTCAATTGCTTGTATTGCATCCCAAACCCAATCGCGATACATCTGTAGCAAAAAAACTCCTTATAAAATTTTTCCCTCAAAATGCTGAACTAACCTTCTTCCCAGTCAGCCTCCAGAGGTAGAAAAAACCTTCAATTACTTCTGGCCGGAGTATATAGCCATTTTCGCCATTTCTGAACCTATTTTTGAGACAAAACGAATTCCATTATTAAATGGTAACGCACTTGCTCGTTGCATCCTCTGCATCATTGAAGTAGAACATTTCCGGCCCGATGTGTGAAGCTGATCTAATGTAGCTTTCGTGACAAGTTTGTCCCAATTCTTCAGCCAATTTCATTGTGGCTTCCTAGAAAAATATTATCACAGAAAACACAGTCATCTCTCTAAATTGTACTAAGTATGACGAGAGTTGCGACACCCTAGGGTTGAAAAATGTTTTTTCTACTCGTTTTTGACCTTCTATGGAGCAAGGCAAAGTAGCGCTCTATTTCCGTATAGTAGTTGTGGAAATTGTTGAAACACCTTATAGAAAAACTCGTGAAATTTACTGTATTGAAATCTTAAGGATGACAGGAAGTAATTTGAAAGTGAAGCTGATTTGGCTGTCGGAAAGTTGCTCAAATAATCGTGGAGATCAACAGAATGAAGGACTGCTGTGTAAGTCTTCGATCGTTTTTTTGTGAGGGAGTAGGCGAGCAATGGGAAAACGGGAGATCAGAAGAAAGCCCATTTCATGAATTTTGAGTGAATAAGATTATGATATACAGGGTGTCCGTAAAGTAGTATACACTGTTTGATCGTTAATTCTTTTCCCAAGAAGTCTTTTGCCTTGCTTTAGGTATCATTTTGTAGAACTGGCTTCAACTTAGATTTACACTACAGAATGAATCTCCCATCTCTCTTCATTACTGTAGGATTACGGTAGAAACTTGAAACATATGGTGTCAATGTGGAAAAAGCTGCCGTTTCAGAATTTTTCAAAAAAAAGTGAAAACTTGTGTAATAGGGCTTTTATGGACGCTGGTTCAATACTCAACTATTCACAAGATTGCGAAGCTCTTTAAACGGTGTAACCGCACTTTTTAAAACCATTGGAAAAATGGCTGCGACCTCTTACCCGGCATAACTCTTCAACGAAGCATCATTATAAGTTGGGAACTTTACAATTAGAATCAGCAACTCTAATTAGCCTAGTGTAAAAGTTTTCAGGCTGTTTTGTTTCTTTTTTGAGGCAAAATATGGCCTTTCATGGCTCAAAACCCTCTTTGAAGTTTCTACCGTAACCCTACAGTAATGAAGAGAGATGGGTGATTCGTTCTATAATGGAAATTTAAGTTGGAGCCAGCTAAACGGTACCTGAAGCAAGGCAAAAGACTTCTTGGGAAAAGAGATATTAACGATCAAACAGTGTATACATACTTTACGGCACCCTGTATTAGTGCTGAACCACGGAAAATCGTAATCGCAGTTTTGTCAACTTTTATCTAACAGTAAGCCAATAACTGCTGTGAAAATTCATTTTCTGATATTACCTTTTCAGCCTCCGAATTTTCATTGACTGCTTGAAGTGCGAACATTCCAACTGAGAAGCAGGCCAGATGACCCATCTTATGCTGAGGTAAACCATTGCTGAGTTCAGCAGTGTATGTAAGCCCAGACTTGGATTTGTAGATCATTCTGAAAATGGTTCCATTCTAGTTAGTTTTTCACCAAGATGTCTAAGCAGTTTTTTTTGAACTCGTCAAGAGAAACTCGATAGTTAAACTAAGCTACCAATTGGAGATCTCTTGGAACTTACTGTTCTCGTATAGCTTTACTGGCTGCCCAAAACATCCTTCGCGATTGCTCGTTGGTCTTTCCTGATTGCAGCCACGATTTGATGAGGTACTCGTAGAACGAATCTCCCAGTGCACCAAGGGACCTAGACAGAGAACGAAATTACAGTAATCCAAAAATTCCATTGAAAATGGCAATTCTGCCGTCCCCTCACATATGGTACGGCTTCGACCACCGTCCAGAATCCGGGTCAATATAATTCGGATACAATCCGTTGACTTTTTCCGATTGATCAAGCACATCGCGTATCCGCTTCACCCTTTTTGCAAAAATTGGAGCTTTCGTGATTTGGCTGAGGTAGGTGAACTCCAAGTCCAGACTTCCGAATTCGGCAAGTATTGAAGAGCTAAAATAATCTTATAATCATTCTGTCAAAAAAGTGCATGTTGTGACAGTTCTTGCATATAAGCATAGTGCTTGCCGACCTTACCCTCCATTAGCCCAATGATAATTTGAAGCCTGCTTGGTCTTCATGTTCAGATTACTCTTCGGAATTCCAGATGGAGTTTTGAAAGCTGGCAGAAGGGCTTCACCAACACTTCGTGCTTTAACTCTGCAAATTCGATTATGAGTAAAAAGTGAAGGTCAAGTATAGGAAAATTTTGAAGATAAAGTTGTGTTCTTTTAGAGTTCACGGTGAGAAAACGATACTTTCAAAAAGGTCTGATTGTCGGTACAGGATTAGTCTAATCTCGCAAAAAAAGAGAGTATTGCAGGGTGCGCCAAAATTACCGAAATTATTTTTGAAATTGATTTTGATTACCAATAATTGCACCACTGCCGCGAAGAAATCATTGGAGAACAAAAGCTTAAATTTATGTCATAGAATGCACTGATCAAACTCTGCAAGAGCCATTCCACAAAATCAGAAACCCTTTTTTGAGGATATGAGAGCCAAAAGAATCAGACTAACACTTTTGGTGAAAGCAACAATGGGATTTCACCTTCATCTTCGCTCTGCAACTGAATGAATTCGAAATTTTTCCGAATTATTTTGAGCTGAGGTTGTCGAGAAAAATTCTCACTACCACAAAGTCCTCCCTGCATTTGCAAGTTGGTTTTTTTAGAAAATACGAGTGCTTTTGCGAAAATACCTGCGTGCCAGCAATGACCACATGTTCAAGATCAATTGTGAACCCAGACATGCAAAACTTATCAGATAAAAAAAAATTCTTCATTCAGAGACATGTAAATAATTCTTCATTCAGAGACATGTATAAGATCTAGTATGACCAGTTCGTGAAAAATGTTATAAAACTGGTTTAGAAGAGAATTCATTCTTAAGCGCAGTGAGGGCCTGCATTTAAAATTAGAAATCCCTCTTCGCAGTGACTTTCCATTTTCCGTACTCAACAATGCTACGGCGATCGGCTCTTTGCGCGCAACTTCAAGAGAAAATATTTTCAAAAAGATACCAAATAACATTTATGAGTTTTGCCTGCGTGCAAGCTGGTAATTTTGGCGCACCGTGAACAATAATAAAAAATGCAAGGCATTGCTGATTTACTTCGGCCCTAAACACTAAACAAGGACAATAGTAAGGATAAGTACTAGGTCACTTTATGGTATTGAAACTCAAGAGCATGAATTTCGTTAATCTCATATCAGCGACTCTTAAGCAAAAACTCCGGTTTCAGTGCAATTTTAAGACCGTTTATGGGACGTAAGCGCTCAATTCTTGACTTGAAAACTTGAAAGGCTGTGTAAACATCTCCGCATAAGGCTCTTCTTCGGCATTCTTTATTTTTACAACCCACTTATTCATGATATTGGCGTATAATCCCAGACTTACTTGTAGAACTCCTCTCCTGTGAGCGCGTACAGTGACAACAGTCCACCAAGGAAGCGAATGTTCGTTTCAAAGACGGAAAGGGTACCAGTCGCTTTGCTCATATCGAAGTTCTTTTCAATGTAGTCACGAGCCTAAATGTTCAAGCAATATTTTCAAAGGAGGGGAGGGGGGCGGGGGACGCTGTTGTCGAATTTTTTACCTCCTTGTACTCATTTTTCAAACCCATTATGAAGAGAGTATCAGCAGCGTCGATTATGGTTGCCGGCATATCTCGTCCACCAAAGATATTTTGGGTGTTGGAAGTTTTGGACAGAGGTCGGAGCTTAAATTAGAATTTGAGCTGATATTAAGAAAATTCGCTGAGTATAAACCTCATTTGCACCCCAAGAATAGTTCTTATATCCGTTCCATGCGTGTAGCATCATCTCTACAACCTTCTGCTGGCGATGTTCTGAAGAATTAAAAAATTCGGGGCTATAGAGGCTATAGAATAAATAAATTTTGCTTACCGTTCTCATAGTCTTTGATCTTTAGAATCTCGGTTAGTCGTTGTGGTTTGGCGGTGACTCGAGATTGCTCTTTAGTTTCATGGTCGTCAATCTTCTTTTTCTAAATCAACTGACATCAGAACGTCTTTACAATTCTCGTTGTAAATTCTGTGACGTCGATACATGACTGTTGACAACGCTAGTCCTCAAATTTTACATATAAATCAGGTATTTTTTCAAGATTTTGGGATGACTTACTTCTTCAAATTTGAAAAATTTTTTCAGCATTTCGTATATTTCACCAATTCTGTAGACCTGGAAACAACTACTTAAAGCATCCAGATATTCATCCGATGCTATTCCTTCCCTCCTATCCTTTCCTCCTAATAGTCGTATACTCAGAATCTTTCATATGTTTTCAGATAAGTGCTAATAATTCACCCGTCAATTTTATTTGCTCGAGCTTCCTTACTTATTGAGGTATTCTGACTTTCAAAAAAATAGCACATGGATAGAGAAGAAAAAGCGAAATTTAAAAAAAAACTCCTCTCGGAGATCCTAATTTTTGCGAATTATGAAACACATGAAACTCAAAGTTTCATTTTGAATCTTTAGTGCAGATATATTTGCCATGTACACGTGAAGTTTATCTACTTTAACAATCGAAGAATACTAAACTAACATCGACCTATAACCGCGCTATTGGAGATTACCTATTTAATCCATTCTCAACGCATATTTGACTTTCATTACTCAAATCCAGGCTTATACAGGATGTCCATAAAGTATGTATACATTGTTTGATCGTTAATATCTTTCCTATCTTTTGCCTTGCTTCAGGTACCGTTTTGTAGAGCTGGCTTTAACTTAGATCTACAGTATGGAGCGAATCATCGATCGCTCTTCATTACTGTAGGATTACGGTGCGAACTTCGACAAAGATTTTAGGCCATTGGAGGCTCTATTCTGCCTCGGAACAAGACCAAACAAGCCAAAAACTCTTATACTACGGCAATGGGAGCCGCTGATTTCGAATTTGAAATTCCCATTTTACTGTGATGCTTCTTTCCTAAGTTATCTCCGGTAAATCGTAGTAAGTCAATTCCCAGCATTTGTCAGAAATGTAATCACACCGTCAAAAAAGCCGAAACACTTGTAAAAAGTTGTTAGGTGGAATCAGCATGCGCGAAAACCCTAGTACCCTATTTTCAGGTGTGTAAGCCGCACCCTTTTTGCTCTAAACGCGAGCAGACCCAGGCGTGCCGCCGCGCATATGTCTCGCGAAGCGGTCGCCTTATCGCATACTGCTCCCACTTAACGTGCTCCATGATGACAGTCAGTCTTTTGGCGTGTTCGCCTTTAGAGTGAAGAGGGTGCGGCTTATACACTTGAAAATAGGGTACACGATTTTTCAGATTTTTTGAAGAAAATTTTGTTAGGTGGTACATTTCACATTGGTTCCATATGCTGGAAGTTCGTACCGTAATCCTACAGTAATGAAAAGCGTTAGGCCCCGGGCAGACTTCACGCGATTTGATCGTCGCGACTGAATCGCGAGGAGACAACTGTTACAACATCATTCCATGCAGATCAACTTGCATTCGGTTGTGATACTTTTCCAGACCGAAATTTTTGAATGTGAAATGAAAATGAATGGGAATCTTGGCGATTTGGTCGCGACGATTAAGTCGCGTGAAGTCTGACCGGGGCCTTAGATGATTCGCTCCGTACTGTATATCTTTAGAAGCCACGGTACCTGAAGCAAGGCAAAAGACTTGTTGGGAAGAAAGATATTAATGATCAAACAGTGTATACATACAGTTGTGACAGTGGAATGTGAAAAATTTCGGCGAATTCGCCGAATTCGCCGAATTCGCCAAATTCGCCGATGTCGCCGAATTCGCCGATGTCGCCGATGTCGCCGATGTCGCCGACTTTGCGTCTTTTCGTCATAACTTCCTTCGTTCTCAATGGATTTCAAATTTGAAGGCAGATTTGGATTCAGCTCGCCGAGACAAATCTTTTCATATACTGAACTGCTGTAATCGGCTCTATCGCGGTAAGTGCATAGTAGGAATCCGTTGCATCCTGTGGTAGTGTTTTCTAGAGTGTGTATTTCGGCGCATAATGTAGGCAAAGATTTAAGAAAAAGAGCGTTTAATGGAAGAGTTTCTGCTGAGTGTTTCCAGCAGAAAACCATATCCTTTTTTGTAGTGGAAAAAAGAGAAAGGAGTACGTGAACTTACAAGGGAACGATACTTGGTGTCCGTGGCCTTTTGAGATGAAACGTATACCGTCACACTAGTTTTAAAATGCTGATTCCAAACCTGACTTCCTTTTCTGCTAATCGTTTCTCTAAAAGAAGTTATGAAGAATTTTCGCGTCAATGGTCGCCTAAGATAAATGTGGCCGAGGATGCTTAGCTTTCAAAAAGAAGCTGAAGAGCATCAACATTTTGACCAAAATCCATCGGCGAGCTTCCAAGAGCGTAAAACGAAAAAAAATGAAATAGCCCGAAAATCTCGGAAAACTTGATCATAGTGGTTATCCGACCTGCTGATTACGATAATCACATCTGCTTAGCAAGAGAGCATCATATGCTATGGCTATGGCGAGTAGAATTTGGGACGACAAGATTTTTCCACAATTCACCAGCCCATCTTTTTCCTTTGAAAAGAAAATTGCGGTTACTGTTTAGCGCATCATAATCTACAGAAAAAGTGCTATCAAATGGTTCTTGCTGGAATCTACTCGGGACAGTACTCGCTGCTTTACACCTTCGAGAAGAAGCGTCCGCAGAAAGATTCAAGAATACTGAAATCGAGATATCAAGGACATGCTTTATACCAAAAGATTCGCCTTGATGAGCTGAGCACAGCACCGTTTTCGGATTTTTGAATATACTTAGTCTGGAGGAAGTTATGGCGAGTAGAATTTAAAGGCGCGTGATTTTTGCAGAATTCACCATCTCTTTTCGCGCTTTATAAAGCATGTCTCCGTCTACTTTTCACCGCTGGATTATCTACGGTAACAACTCTTTCCGATTCGCCTTACCGGAATCTTTTAAGTGTGAAAGGGGCTGGGCCCACAGCGTTGCAAAGAGGCGTCTGCAGAAAAAAGTGAAGTTTTGCTGGAAGCAGAATATCATAGTCATGCGGTCTGTCACTTTAATCACATAAGCAACAAGACATGCTGATTACAAAGATTATAATTGTTTTGCTAATCATAGTGTTACTGTATAGTTATGTTTGTTTGAGGGTAAGTGGTTATGTATATTTACTGATTTCACGTACTCCTTTCTCTTTTTTCCACTACAAAAAAGGATATGGTTTTCTGCTGGAAACACTCAGCAGAAACTCTTCCATTAAACGCTCTTTTTCTTAAACCTTTGCCTACATTATGCGCCGAAATACACACTCTAGAAAACACTACCACAGGATGCAACGGATTCCTACCATGCACTTACCGCGATAGAGCCGATTACAGCAGTTCAGTATATGAAAAGATTTGTCTCGGCGAGCTGAATCCAAATCTGCCTTCAAATTTGAAATCCATTGAGAACGAAGGGAGTTATGACGAAAAGACGCAAAGTCGGCGACATCGGCGACATCGGCGACATCGGCGAATTCGGCGACATCGGCGAATTTGGCGAATTCGGCGAATTCGGCGAATTCGCCGAAATTTTTCACATTCCACTGTCACAACTGTACTTTACGAAAACCCTGTATAATACAATACTAGGCTCACTACTTACATTCTCTTCCATATTTTAGTGCAGAGTTATTGCCATCTATGCTGACGAAAGAAATACTGGTATAGAGAAAAAGTGTGAGGTGAGCAGAATGTACCGAACACAGAGTGATAAGACAAAGGGTGCCCCTTGCATATCTTTACAACGGTTTCATACTAACCGCCTCCAAAGAACGCAAATCTCTGCTGAGTTTTGGGATCGCTTACTATAGCGTAAGAGCGTTCATGACGTTATTTGTCATTAAGAATTATCTATAGGGCTTATCAAACGGAGTGTCGTTTGCATCAGCATCTCCATTCCCGCGCTGGACTCTGCATCTCTTCCGAGAACATACTTTCTGATCACTTTCCCAGGGCGAGCGTGGGAAAGGCGGAGCCTTAATCGATTGGAAGTGGTTAGAGAGCATAGCGCGGAAGAGACGCAGGGTCCAGCGAGGGAATGGAGATGCTGATGCAAGCGACACTGCGTTTGATAAGCTCTGTATATGGGCTGTATATGGCTTGGGTCTGATTCACGTCAAAAAATCAATTTCTTAACAAAAAAATTTAAAAAAAATCATATGAGCACAAATAAATCATATGAGCTGAAGCTTGGGCAATGGCTTAGTTAAAGCCGTTCAAACAGTATCGCCATAAGCAGTCGGTAATCGGAGACGCCTGGATACTACCTTTGATAAAGTTCATGATAGGGAAATTATATGAGAAATCTCAATTTCATTTTCAAGTTTTCAAGAGTTGGACAAGGCTATTTTGTTAAAATTACTGATATGAGCTGAAACAAGAAAAATATTCTGCAAAGGAAGTTCAGTCGCTCACCAAGGACTTAAAGCCACTTCTGATTGCGCGAATGGATTGCAGGTTCTGAGGCGATGACGGCAGGTACGAGATCACGCAGAGCAATATGAACATGGCAGCTGCACTGGCAGCGAGCGCTGCTCGGTTCAGCCTCACCGTTTGCATCGCATCGACCTGAAATCGAAGTGTGAATAGTTGCTAAGGCGGTCCCCTCCCCCTCCCCCTGCGAAAGAACACGAAGCGAAAAATTAGACAAAGCCCGGCTTGTTGCAGCGATGAGCGCAGCTGCGATCATTAGGTTGCGATGAGATCATCAAATGAACAAGGGAACGACTACGCAATGATTTCGATTGCGCATAGACAAACATAAAAGATTGGGAGGAATGTGCGATTTGCACGGGAAAAAACTGAAATTTCAAACACTCGCAGTTTGCGCGATTTTCGAGATTGAAGTTGAAGTGAAAGTTAATCAAAGCAGAAAAAACATCGATTAGAGGCAATAAATTGAACTCGAACTCCAAATAAAGATTTCTACAGGAAGCACATCATTACCATTTATTGCAATCTATGTGCTAACAACAGCAAATAAATATTGAGATGAAACAAACGCAGTACATAACTAAAATGGTTCATATGATTTGTTACGGATTATGATGAAAAGATAATTACGATTTTCTTTTTGCAATTTTTATGCAGCATCTGGGTTTCCAACTGTGGGAGATGTTTCGTCTAGGGTTTAATCTTCATCGTGTTTCGCTCAAAGTAGAATACACTTTGACTTCCATAGCATCTTAGCTTTTTTATACCACAAAAACACATGCACTTTGCAACGTAGGCAATCTTTGGCAATTTGGAAAGATTAGCAATTCTTGGCACAAGAGATGCTGAACTCTACTACCAAGGACCCTTTTTTCCTAACTTCGACTCGATATGGTGTGAAAATAGAGATGTATTACTGCAGAGATTGCAGCCAAGTGTCAAAAAACAGATTCAACTGAATAGTGCATGACTTGCTGCAAACTTTTGATTCTTGAGTCTAAATAGTAATTTCACAAGTTTGGATAGATCGCCGAATGAATTTCTATAGTCATATACTCTAATCAGTGGCGTACCCAGGATTTCGGCTCGGGGGGGGGCGCGACAAAAATTTTTTTTCTAAAGAAGGTGCGTGGCGTTAGCCACGCACTCCGAAAAATTTTTTGGGGTGCCTCTCAAAACTTTTGCGGGTCCCCGACCCCTAAAATCTGGAAAAAGGGGGCGTGGCATTAGCCACGCCCCCGAAGAAAATTTTTTTACAAGGCTAATTTGATTTTTTAAAAATTTTTAAAAATTATTTTAATTATTTACAAAAATAAATAAGTCACTTGCACATTTTTATAACCCATATAAGTAACTTTCAAAAATTTCGCGACCCGTTCTCGGGGGGGGGGCGCGCGCCCCCCCCCGCCCCCCCCCCTCGGTACGCCACTGACTCTAATATATGAAATCCTTGAGCGGTTTCGTAATTATCAGCCGCATTCAGACATAACTAGAACTTTTGGGGGCTTGAGTTTCAATCTGAGTTTTTAGCGACTTTAAGTGAACATGTCGAGCTCTGCATCGTGTATGAACAAAAAACCTGGAGTAGTTTTCTACCTTTTAAGTGGTTTTGAACAAATAAAAATCGTAGCTCACCACATCAACCCGTAGAGGTGCGTCGTCTCCCAAGATACGAAGCCCTGCTTTCCGCATACTACCGAAATAGCAATGAAACTCACCGAGTAATGTTTAACGTGATGAATAAAATGCAGAGCTCATTCATTCTACATGCCCGCCATAAGAGCTCGGTGACTTTGGACGAAAAAAGTTCTTTTATGGAAAATCAAACACATTTTTAGGTCAGTTGCCAAAGTTATATGGTTTGAAGCTACACCTCTGCCCCTCCTCAGAATCTCCTCAGTTCTTTAGATAAACTCTTTACAAATCGAGTTCTACGCAGTCAGTCATTTTTGGCCTGTTTCCGCGAAAAAACACATGTTCTGATCATTTTTCGCGCTAAAACCCATGGCTTGCAAATAGACATCAAATAAATCACGACTTCGCAAAAAAATCGAAATACTAACGCACTTTGGCAGGGAAGAAGGTGGGGTGCCGGCTTCATGCGCAATTTCTGTAATGTTAGAAGCATCGAATGCGCTCGAGCTTTTGCATGATGGACCAAAATGCTAGAAGCATGTCTTGCGCAAAAAATTGGCTCAAGACCTTGGCTAGAACTTGCTATACGATTTTCGTGACAGACAGACTTACACACAACACACAAAAACATGCAAACAACCCTTAGCCCGTTATTATATGTACCAGTGCGTCACCTCTGCTTCGCAGAGGCTCGCACTGGCTTTACTATCTAGGCCCTACTCATTCTCGCATAATTATGGCATTGAAACTCACTAAGCAATGCCGATTATCACGAACTAAATGTAAACAGTTACTCATTTCAAAAGCTTTTTTATGTGAAATCGGTGATTTCGCGTGGATGAGACTTTTTGCAGGAAAACAGATGCAAAATTTTATAGGTTTTTGATTTTCCCATGGCCTTTACAGTTGCAATAAGAACAGCAGTCACAATGAGCTACATCTTCGTGCAAAAATCTTGTCAAATAGTCTGGTAAAACCTTGGAAAAACGATCATTTACGCAACCAATACTTTTTGGCGCCGGTTTTGTAAAGTAATGGACTTTTGAACATTTTTTTTTGAGCCTAAGTTCACGGCTTGCATATTTACTTGGCACAAACATCCACGACCCTGAAGAAAGTGAAATTACGGACCCAATTTTGCGGCACAAATGCAAAGTGGATCCGTTTGACACGCGTTTCTGAGGGATCCACTCAACGAATCTGCTCGTGCTTCTGCATGTTGGACTTTCATATAGGTAGCATGCGCTGTGCAAAATTTGAGCCCATGAGGATAGCTGGAACACGCTCTACGAATTTCGTAACAGACACACTCTCAGACACACACACACACACACACACACACACACACACAAAGTCACGTAAACATCCTTAGCCCGTTATTATAAGTAATGATAGTCGAGCAGATTTTCCGCCTAATATAGTGTGCTTGCACTGAAGGTAAAATGTGGTAAAATCTGCGCGTGAACAAGGAGCCACTCAGTAATGCCAGTCTTTTGCGCGCGCAGTTGGCCGGCGTCACGGTCGCAGCCATCTGTTCACGCGCAAATTTTACCGCATTTCACCCTCATTGTCAGTGCAAGCACACTATATTATGAGGAAAATCTACTCGACTGTAATTGTGCAACCCTCTCGTTGACTTTCAGAACTCTCATTCAGAACGGATGCCAAATTTTAACACCTTCTAAAACAGATAGGATATGGTTCAAAATGTGTGTTCCATTTTTGTTTTCACTCGGAAAAAATTATCATAAATCGAATCTTGTTGCAGGGTTGAGTATATTGAGTGAAAGTTTGTTTATATTCGCCTCTTCGGTCTATCAAACATGAACTTCATTCAACAAAATATAGCTAGCTGCAGGAAATGCTTACCAGAGGAGGTAGAATCATTAACTATTAGCATAGCAAAAAAAAACAGTCCTGCGTTAAAAGGAGCATGTATTTGATTGAGATATGTATCATATGACCCGGTAGGTACGTTTACAATGTGAATACAGAATATGAACTTCATGAAATCTGCTAAGTTGTAGTCCTGACATCTGTTAGAAAAAACTTTAATATTGCAAGTATCAAAATCGCAGATTCTACATAGTCTACCCACTAGCATCGCTTCTCATTCACAGCGGAAAAATTTATGAGCTGTTGCTGAGGAGGAAATCCGAAAAATTAATTTGTAAAAACATTGTAGCACCAATCAGTTCCGCGCATAACTACAATGCAGAAGAAGGCCACTATTGCCACCTCTGGCTATGAAGAGATAACGAAAATATATGGAGAGGAAAATTACAAGACTTGCAATCCGCACTTCTCTCAAAGAAATCATATCACTAAATTGTAAGAACAAAGCATGCACCGTTATGACATTATACACAATGTTTTTGCATTGATCAATATTAGCAAAGGAAAATGAACAAGGGTCTTTGAAAGGGGGAAGGAGCAGTACGTAGTGATAAACACAGATTCGCAAACCAGCTTATCTAAATGATGTCCAACTCTTTACGGACTGATGAATTTCTAATTGATAAGGGAATCTCACGTGCAGCAGCTTCGGTGAGGTCAAAATTGAAGTGGTTATGATATTAGGGTGAACGGTAAAAAATGGGACACCTTGAGAATAATTGCAGATTTCTCAA